AACTCTGACTGGCAATAAACCAACAGGCAAGAGTCGATCGCTCAGCAACTATGTAGGAGAAAGTGGAGATGCATTGACAGGACGTACATTGAGGAGGTCGCCGAATGATACAGCACACCAGGCCATCGCTCGAAGGCAGTCAAAATGGGAAGCGACGAAAAGGATCATCCTAGAGTGACATGGAGGAGATCGTGTGAAGAAGAAAAGATGAGAGAGTTTGGTGAATCATGGACCCAGCTGAAGAGGACAACAGAAAGCAGAACAAAGTGAAGATGTGTTGTTGAAGCCCCCTATCTTCCACTCAGAATTCAAGAAAATAATATTAAATAATAATACAATACTCTAAATATTATATTTCATCACTATGATAGTATTCACCAGATTTACACCAATTCACGGATACTAGGTTATTAGTGCTCGCAATTGGACGAGGTCTTGCATTGCTTAACTTTGCTTCTGCACGTATCCACCAGCTGGTTGATGATAAGTAGTCTACAACAGTACACACCTTCCAGTGATTAGCGGTTTCCATAGGCTCGCTATCTCATGAATTCTATCAAGGAATCGTTTCAAATATTGATATCACATAGGAAATTTATTTGAAGATGTTTTACTTTTACGCTGTTATGGAATTACACTCTCCTGCACAGTGATTGAAAAATTTCTAATATATCACATTGAAACGGTGGAAGGCGGAGAGTTGGTAAACGAATGTTTATTTAGAAATTGATATCCGTACATAGCGAAATTATGTATGTTCTATCTTCAGCGCACCATGTGCAAACATCTTTGTGTTGTAGTACATCGGGGCTTCATCTTGTGTTTCTTTGCATTCCTTTCACTTCTCCAATGTGGCTCCACGACACTGTGTTATTCGCCTTCTTTATAAAAAAATGCATCTCCCTGCTATTTGATGATTTTATGCTGATGAACGTCTCTGTCTATATATATACTAGTGATAAATGTTATTACAGTAGCACCCGTCACAATATCAAATAATAATGGTAATTTTAACCGCCTGCTTTGTTATCACCTTCAGTTTTATAATTATTCTAATTATTGTCATCGTCATCAAGGTGTCTTCTTTCAGAAGGTATCTGACATGTTTCTACGTGTCGACAGTGAATCGGTCAGTTGACATTCATGATGGATTGATGGTTATTAATCAGTGAGACATAGTTTTGTTTTTGTGTGACTTTTGAAATTATGTATTCGCAATCTTCCGAATGGGACTCCAGTAGACATATAAATGTGCCTGACAGAAAATACTACTGCAAATTTGAGGCGCGAGTGTTTCAGGAGTGATTTGTTTGAGACGGCGTAACAGAATGATTCCGTTTGGCATTGCACTCCGTGATGCAGTTTGTCTCTCAGAGTAGTAATAGCAGCCAAGTCATTTGTGACGGTGAATTCTACTGGAAATTTGTAAATATTTCTTGAGAGATGACAGTAGCTCGCACAACGAAACATTCAGTGGAACTGTGTTTTGGTGTTCTAAGGTAGACTGTTTCAATTTCTGTCATAATGACAAAGTTTAGAGTAGTCGAATGTGGAAATGTTTCAGGATATTTGTGACATATATCGTGTGGTTATTACTGAATTGGGATTAATTAACGGAATATTGGAGTGTATTGGAACTGGAGAATTACACGAAACTGTTGTCCATTGGCGTAAATGTTTTGGTGCCTTTTTGGAGATCCCGGGAATATTCAGAATTCATATTTTCGAATTTTTATAAATTGGCCTACATTATATTGATTCTAGCGGTGTTGAATGTTGTTGGTATTGTGAGAATGAGTGAGGTGCATCAGTGGATCGCTCATTAAGAAGAGCGTGTGCATACTGTAACTCATCTATTACGTCTGTAATGCCACTGCGACGAAATGCGCATCCTGGATTCCACTGCTAGTTACCATTCATCAATAAATTTTAATTAAATGCTCAGACATCGTCGAAGCGTCCTCAAAAGAAGTCGACATATCAACCTGAGGACGAGCACTTCGGTCCAATCAATCGACGGGAAAATCCAAAATTCAATTAGATGTTATTTTATTCTAAACCTGTTCATTATAATGCGAAATACCACTATTCAGCTCAAGCAGATATTTTCAGTATGATCTATGAACTACTGACAAGTAGTATAATATTAGACGCTGAAAATATCGTATGGATGTTTGCTCAAGAACGAATTGATATTGACTGCACATATTATGGCATGAGTGAATGTTTTGCTCATTGGTCACTAACTGATGCCAGTCGAATTAGATCGGAAGTCTTTAAAGCTGATTGATTTTTTGTCGATATACTTTTTTTGTCTGAGGTGGATGTTTTATCTGTGAAGCTCTCATTGCTTTGCTGGGCAATGTCTTCAACAGATACTTTAATTTTAAGCAAGCGTATAAAATTCTCCACGAGTTTGTTAATCACTACATCGCTCCTACATAAGGGAAAATCGATGAAAAAAATATCTCATGGACGTCTTCCAAAACCGAAAGAATGGATATCCACGAAACCTCATCAAATGTCATCTGCCCCACGGCAACCAATCGAATGAAATGTCCCCATGGAAAACACAAAGAAAGTTGTATCACAGGATCTTTTCAACTAGAGGCGAGATGGATGATAATGTCAAGACCAGCCATGATCAGAAATGCAAGACACATCCTCATTACTTTGAAATCAGCGTAGAAATCTACTGTATACAACAGAAGTAACAGGATATGGATCATCGACTCTAATCTCAAATCACTCACCGCTTATATGTGGTCAGAGAGTTGGTGCGTCATCAAGAACATCTCTGAGAGCCTTCAACTGCTACTGAATTCAGACAGCTCGCCGAAGAGGATAATCAATAAGAAACTCTAGCAGGGAGAGAAGCAATTAAGAATCTATCTCCCGACAAACAAATAAAGGGAAATGGATTTTCTCTACATTGAGGAGACAGTTAAGTGACATAATCCACCGGTTCCTTTGAGTGGAATGCGAACAGGAAAATGAAAAGTCGGGCTTCTGACGATGACAATGGAGGTAGGTATGAGGAAGAATTAAAAGATTATGGACAATCATGGAGCCAACTAATTGTGACTGCAGAGAATAAGGTGATATGATGTTCTACTCTGAATCCAAGGGAATAATAAAAGAAATCAACCGCTGGAAATGATGCTCATATGTGGAAAGTTTAAATTTCGTTAGCTAGTCAATCAGTTGAAGACTAGTCAAACAGCCAAAAACTACGTCATTCTGCAGAAAACACTTCTTTACTTTGTGATAAATATATGGTGAAGAAATAACAATGGCTTCTTTGCACACCACAATAATGCCTATATATTTACTCCTAGCTGAAACTTTACACCCCAGCAGAATGAAACCTTTGAATTGAAGTAGATAGGCATAAACTACTTGCAGAGAGGGTGATTAGTAATAGTGGAAATAAGGAGTGGGTGGAATGGGAATTCACCAAAACAATTTGATACTGACTTCAAGGTAGTACGCCATGAATGTATGTGACACTCACTGAACACTACCAGTTGGGAATCAGTGTAAGTCGCAAGTCCTTAATACTATTTAATAACTCTACATTATGATATGTAACAAAAGGGATTCATTAGAGCTTTTGAGCGATATGGCTCTCATGTTCAACAATGTTTGTTTATCTGTTTCTTCTCCTTGGTAATCAGGTCCCCTTGAACATCTTTTATTACTTTCATCATCTGGGTTGATCTCTTTCTGGATAGCGATACACCTGGTTATCTGTTATAATGTCCTTAGGTCTCTTTTACCTGAGGCCTGTTCTGCTTCAGTTGCTTGCCAGTGAGTCGTCTAACTGTCTTTTGTCTCTCCTAGCATTCTTATTCACCTGTTTATTCACTGCGACAATTTACATTGAACCCAGCTTCTCCTTCTCTTGTCCTTCTATGCATTGAATCGTCTTCCCTTTCACCATCCCCTCTCCTAATAGCGCTTCTAGGTAGGTGTCCGTTGAGAGCCATTCCTTCTCTTTTCCCTTCTTTCTTCCCGGAACAGTTGTACATGTTCCCTTGAACATCATATTCAGAGAGTTAATTCCAAAGCTCTTCCACATAGGTTTCCTCAGTGATGCCAGGTAGTGTGGTCTCCGACTTTGCTGAGATTTGACCTGTAGTCAAAGTATCCCTTGAAGTTTTGTCCTTCAGTTTCTGAATATTGAACTTAAATTACAGTGGCCTGTCTCTAGTTGTTCTGCAGGCTTTCGGCTTCATCTTGAAGGTTTCTTGAATGAGATGAAAGTTCGAGACTTTGTGTCCAGCAGATTGGCTGCATCTCCACTTCCTTGAGCATGCGTAACACATGTCACAACCATTTCAATCGATGTAGCTTCAAAGCCTTGCTGATTGACTACCTCTCCTTATCTAACACTCAACGCCTAACCACCTCAGTATTACCCGCCCTATTATACCACATAACATGGAGTATAGAAAGCAGATACCCATGATTAAAGACAGCTAGTCAACCTTTTCATGTCTTCCACTTTCAATGGTCATGTCTCACAGTCATAAAGCATAATATGTCACTGAACTTTCATCACAGCCAACAGATCACCAGATTGCATCCCCTTCAAACACACATACACAAACTGAAGCTTAAAATTTCGTGTATGAAAGATCTGTTCTACATAACTAAGTTCAAAACACAACTTTAAGAAGACTGATTCGAATCAACCTAAATCTCTGAATTTACCAATCACATTATAACAACATTCCGTAATTTATAACAAAAGATAACAGAGAACGAAAGGGATTTCATCGAGAATAACTTGAATACATCTATATATATTAAAAAATAATAGATATTTACAAGATATCTGTCACCAAGTAATTATGTGTACAATAATTTTCTATAAGAATTGACAAATAATAATCATAAAAATGGTGAAATCTAGTTCATACATGTTCTAAATGCATGTGTACATATACATATATGTCTTGTGTGTGTGTGTGTGACAATTGGTTCATTTCATCAATTCAAGCGAATATATCATCTAAATGTTCCACTTGTTTTTCAACCTTTTCATCAGTTTCATGTGATGTCATAAATACTTTTAATTGACTTTCAAGACTATTCCATGTGGAATGATGTTTAGCTCTGTAATGATGGAAAAAGGAAAAAATGTACACATTGACTGCTAGGCTAACAATAATAATAATAGTGTTCAAAAAAGTCTGTCTGTCTGTCTCTTTTCTACATAGAACTTTGCACCGATGTGCAGCAGTTCAAGTCGCCACACTCCACTCCTTGCAGCACACAAAGCAAGAGGAGAAAGAAGGAGAAATGCACAATAGAAACAGTAAACACAGGTGTGAGACAAAGGAATAGTAATAACGAAGAACAAAACAGTTTCATTGGAAATCATAAGTCACAAGAAATGGATGCATCTGCCCCAGTCATTGAGAACGATTATGAGCCATATCACCAATCGTCTCCAGCCTTCATTGGTGTTTACCATCGTGAGAACCCCAACCAGGAAGTTTGCACCTTCCTACGTGGCTTAAACTAACTGTTGTGGATTTCATTAACTGGTGCCATGTTTTTGTTTGACCGCCGTCAGCTCTTTTCCAGCCTGACCCTATGTCAGCTAACATTACCCGTCGAGGAAGGCGACTACTGATATAACGAGACTATATCACCATGGAAACCAAATGAATAAAAGAAAATCATTCACTTTCATTGATTAAAATTTCAACGTATTAGTCGACTGATGATACTATCACTGGGGAGATACATATATGCAGGTGCACTCTCAGATGAAGAGCTGACAAACAAAGCAGAAACACGCGAGGATATGTCTCTTCACTTTAAACAGAAACATTAAATCTTACAAATATATATATATATATATATATATATATATATATATATATATATATATTACCTTATTCGTATCCATCGACTAATACCAGACATATACCGTGATGGTTGTTCAACAAATCGTGCATCAGCCAATAATACAGCACCCCAATCATTAGCATGTCGTATACACCTTCCCAGGGCTTGATTCAATGCTCTATACGCCTGTGCATCATACCATTCAGATCCACTGAGTACTTTCTGTTGTTGTTGTTGCTGCTGTATGGATGACACACTTGAAGTATTATTATTGTCTAAATCAGAATTACTAGTATTTATTGTATCCAATGATGTGTTAAGATTATCACTTGATGTGGATTTCCCATTCTCTGAATAGGCAATTCTACCTGGAGTTGATTTATGCAGTGTATCATTGAATTCACGTTTTTGTTGAACCTAAAGGAGAAAGAAATATCAACAAGGAAAATTGTAGATATGATATGCGAAATACACTACCACAGTACTATCAAAAAAATGCCTCTGGGTTTAGATTGGAGAGCACAGGGTTTCAGAAACACATGTCTGAATCACCTTGTTCTTTGCATTCCCCTCTTATTGACTCCACGATTACCCATCAACTTTCATATCCCCCCCCTTCACACGTTCTTCTCCATGTCACCCTTTGGTTCAAGCAAAACTCTCCTTTTTCAATTTGGGTCCCACTCGTGGGTATAATCTGTGTGATGTTAATCAACGGTTACTTCGGTGTATAGAAAATCAATCTTAATTTCGTACCACATATTTGTCAGGCAATAGGTCCTCGCTCCGTTCACCACCACATTACTTGTTGATGATCCTTTCTGACCGGCCATTCGATATTCACTATCCAGCTAGAGAAGACACCATTCGATGAAAGTGTGCAGTAGGCTGTTGGAAATGCCCTTGGTGACATGTACCAAGTCTTTGACTAATACAGAAGCTAGTTTGGCGCTCTTCATCAGTTCGAGCCCATCACACGGGGTCGAACCCAGGACCTTCTGGTTACAAGGCGAGCTCGTAGACCATTGAGCCACTGGGACCCGATCCAATGGTCCTTGAATTCTAACTTCTGCCAGTTCACGACATGGCGCGACCACTTCGCAATGTCTTCTTCGATGAGTTACTGCCTCATCTTCGACCTGCTGTACCCTACTGGTCACGGCTTCCCACTAGAACCTCAGGTCAACTGCCTGAATAGGGCCAGTCACTAGTGAGCATCAGATGAATTTTCAAGTATTGGTTTTTGTAGGGATTTTGTTTGATTGCATGGAGGATTTAATCATGACATTGCGAAGTGGTTGCGCTATGTCGTGAACTGGCAGAAGTTAGAATTCAAGGACCATTGGATCGGGTCCCAGTGGCTCAATGGTCTACGAGCTCGCCTTGTAACCAGAAGGTCCTGGGTTCGAATCCCGGTGGGTGCGTACTGCTGAGGAGTCCCAAACTAGGACGAAACGGCTGTCCAGTACTCCCAGGTTTTCCAGTGGTTCTCTAACTGATGTCAGCTCATGATGAAATTCCCCCCATTCAATCAAACAAAAAAATTCCTACAAAACCAATACTTGATAATACAGAAGCGCTGACTGACCTCACATTAATGCTGAGAATTTGCCTGTTGTTCCTTTTGATGAGTGCAGCAGGTTTCCACACTAATTTCACAGATAATCTAGGTCTTTTTTGATGTAGTTATGTTCTATGAGCTGCATGGTTTACTTGAGAAGTTTTCATTGCCTTACCAGAAAACACCTAATGCGCATATTTCAATTGAGGTCAGCTTTCAAATTCTCCCGCCCCCCCCCCCACGAGTTCATCAGTCACCTCTCCTGGTGACCTACAACATCGTATTTGGTTGAGTATGTCTGCTTCCACACCCTCAAGTCCACTTGTTTTCATATTCATTGTATCCTTCATCTGAAGTTTGACTTTTTGTGCATGAGATTTTCTCCATATGGATTGGTAAACTTTATCTGTGTCAATGTATCTGTCAACTGCTGATTCACTCAAATACTACGCTTCCGAAAATTCTCTGGGGTTCTTGGTGTTTCCTCTGTCTAATAATTCCAATCTTGTCCCAGTCGAACTGATATCCGAGGTTGTCTGTATGCAGCGATGTGAGGAAGTGGATATCATGTCTTTCGACGCCTAGTTTGTGATCATGGATGCAAGGAAGAAGAAGAAGGCGTCCACTTTGGCCAATATTTAGCGTGTATTTTTTTGCAATCGTGGCAATTTATTTTGTAGATGAAGCTCACTTCGAACTGAAGTATACGCTGAAGATGTTGCCCTGGTTAGGCAAGTGAACCATCCAGCTCAGAGAATACAAACCACATCAAAATCACTACTCACCTGAGCTACAAATCTTCTCCATTACATCTAAATGAAGACCCTTCTTGCTTCTCCGATCCTGCCTGCCTGTCTGTCTGCCAATCTGCCTTTGACACGGCAGTCTGCTTAAATCACTGGGCTACTTATATATCCTATTCATTAAAACACATCGTGTTTAACCCCCACCCCCACCCCAACTTCATATTGTTTTAATGATGTAATCACCACAATAAGACACCATCTATACTCGCGCATAATTTCAAATAATCTTCTAGCTATCATGAGGAATTTTTCAAACAAAATTGAGGCGGAACGTTGTGGCGAAGTACTGGAAGCAAGCTTCGAATGGAACAATGTTTCTTCAGACGATAAATAACCGATCATTATATTATTTGAAGATTCTGTACAATGTGTAAATACCTTGCAATGAGACTTTTTCCTAAATTAAAGCTGCTATTATTATTATTATTATTATCCATGCCACCGTATGTAGTTCAAACGATGCTGTCTAGATAGGTGAAAGAGGTAGCTTCCTCCAAATTCCTCCCGATGATAGTGGTGATTGCTGCTTGTTTTGATGGTGAAGTACCTCTTCTTCACCTCTATTTTCTCTTTGATTACTTGAAGTCCCGGTTCCTCTGTCTCTTCGACTGTCTGCCAACTTGATATAAGAATAGAACTTGGTCACTGTGACAGTAGAGTATAATTCCACTGAGGGTAAAATTTATTTTGATAAAGTCTCACACTGGGTTATACAATAAGTAATATTTACTGATGACCAAGTTTCGAGCACAATTTATTACTACTCATAATCATATCAAGTTACGCATACAACTTTTCAACTTCGTTCAAATAATTCCATTATTTTTCATCTTTTGATTTGATTGGTGGTACCATTTTCCGTATCTCTGGTATTGGTCATGAGTCACTGCATCCTATTGCATGTGTCAGGTATAGACTCGATGAACAAGGATTCAGTAGTGCTCAACCTCTCTCTCTCTACCTACCTACCTATATTACTTCTTAGAATTTTAACCCTCTCCCATCCTATGGTGTGGTTGTGTGTTAATGCATGCAGTATGATTTCTTAATTTCTTCCTAAATTACTTATCTTCGCTGGGTCAATCATTCTAAACTCTTATATTCTGACAATCTGACTACCAACCCCCACCCCAAAGGTTCATTTCAAAGAGGATGAAATTTTTCTCTTGAGAATATCGAAGGCTAAGTCTTCCTTGTAATCCAGATGCATGTAAAGTATCTTTTTCGAAACAAGTGATGTTTCGTTCCTCTGGACCTTTTTGGTTTGATACTCATGTCGATGATATTCTTCGCAGCGACGACAAGAGTAGTGTTCTTCAGTTGGCCATTGATCTGCAGAATATCTCGCATCTGGCCACTTCTATGTGCATGTATCAGTTCACCTGTTGCTGTGGAGATACACAGTCAGTCTGGAAAAAAGCTAGCGGCGGTCAAACAAAAACTTGGCCTCACCAGTCAATGAAATCCACAACAGTTGGTCTAAGCCACGTAGGAAGGTGTAGACTTCCTGGTTGGGGTCCTCGGGACGGTAAAAATCTATGGTTGGAAACAATTGGTGACATGGCTCAAACTCATCGTTCTCAGTGGCGCAGATGCATCCACTCCTTGTGACTTATGATCTCCAATGAAACTGTTTTGTTCTTCGTTATTACTATTCCTTTGTCTCACACCTCTGCTCACTGTTTCTATTATGCTTTTCTTGTACTTTCTTCTCTTGCTTCGCGTGCTACACGGAGTGTGGCGACTTGAACTTCCGCACATTTGTGCAAAGTTCTATGTCGAAAACAGACAGACAGACAGTGGAGATACACATGGAGACACATTGGTCGTTCAACGCATATCCTGTCCAAAAAGGTTCAATAACACTATCCCGCATACCTGAACAAAAAGGTAATAGTGGCTGTATGGGGAATGATATAATCGAACATCTTGTCAAGTCAACACTGGCTATTCCATCTCAACAAACGCCTCCTTAAAAGTGATCCACAAAGTGGAAAATAACCTAGCAAAGCCAATACGCTTTCGTCTCCTTTGTATTGCTGAAGCCTTAGCCAATCAGTTGGAAAAACCAGAGTTATGGATACAACAACAAAATAATCCAACCACTTCTACTATCATGGTGACAACCGCGTCACCTTACACTGACTTCGTGTTTGTCTGTTTGTTGTTTTTTTTGCTAACTCCACATAGCATTTGTAATTTTTAGAACTCTTACATATTTTCCTTTGTTTCTATGTGCATCCTTATTACAACTCACTCATTGAACTATTCATCTTATTGCGCAACTGTATTGCGCTTATTCAACTTCTTTTATATGTTATATTATTATTATTATTGTTCGCTTGGGTTCCTAGTGGAACATAGGACTTCAAATGCACGTCTCCACTTGCCACTTCTATCTTCCTTCTGCTGTACTTCTCACCTGAATCCACCCATGTTAGTCCATACTCCTCTTCAACTCCCCTCCCTCCACACGATCTCCTCCATGTCACTCTTCCACTGACGTCCGACTCACCGCGTGCTTCTCTTTCGGCCTGGTTCCACTCGAGAAATGGCCTGACGCGCGCGCGATGTCACCCAGCGGCGGCCTCCTCACTCAGCGAGTGTCCAATTCATCTCCACTTTCTCCTGCAAATTTGTTGGTTGGCGATCGCTTCTTGTTTTGTTTGTTTGTTTCCAGCCAGAGTTTCTTGTTGGTGATTCTTTCCGGCCCGGCCATCTGATCTTCAGTGTAGACCAAAGACAGTTGTCAATAAAGGTCTGCAACAGGCTGTTGGAAATATTCTTTGTGACCCGCCCGCCAAGTTTCTCATCCGTATAAAAGAACTGACTGACTTGACGTCGTTTGCATTGAAAATCCGACTGAATTTTGTTGTTGATTCTGGCTAAGTGAAGAAGATTTCCAGATTGGTTTCAGGTTGATGATGTTGATGTGCTTCTCGCCTTCCCGATTCTCGCTCCATTTGACATCTTCGTCCGTTCTGACTGCGTGTAGTTGAGACAATGCTCCCTAGACAAGTGAGTGAATGAAGTAACCTCTTTCAAATCCCAAATCACCCGTTGATGGTGATTGGCGCTGGATGTTGCTGCTATTGTTGTTGGTGGTGGTGGTTGGTTATTTTCATAACCTCCGTCTTGTCTATGTTCACCTGGAGTCTTGTCTTTACTGGCTGCTTTTTCGACCAGTTTGTCGGTTTTCGCTTGTAAGTCTTCGATTTTGTGACAGTGACATCAAACATAAATCACCCATGGGCGAAATCCAGGTCTTCTAGGTTCTTCATGTCGGTCCAGGATATCCCTGTCTTCTCGTTTCCCACTCACAGTCTGACGCACAATCCAGTCCACCACAATTAGGAATATCATTGTTCACAATAAGCACGCTTGTCTGACTCCTGTCATTACTCCGAACGCCTCGCTGAGTTTTACGTTGTGGATCACTTGAAATATGGCATTGTCGTACAGCTGTTGAATAAGGTTGATGAATATTTGCGATACGCTGTAATACCCGAGTAGTTTCCAAATTACTTCGCGGTCAACGCTGTCAAAGGCCTTCTCAAAGTCTATAAAGTTGAGGTAGAGGTTTGATTGCCATTCCATGCTTTGTTCTGTGATGATGATGTGTAGAGTTGCATTTTGGTCAGAACATGATTTGCCTTTCCTGAATCCAGCTTGTTCTGGTGGGGCGGAGTTCTGTATCCAATGCGTCTTTTATTCTCTCCAGGATGATGCGACCCAGGATTTTACTTGACTATCAAGAGATACAATTACATCATTCATGGAAGAATACCAATAATGTTCACTTTATATTGAAGTTTGTGCTGAAGATATTGTCTAAAGGTAGGATGAAAGTTTCACTATCATTACACCAGCCAGTTTATAGTACGTGAATACATCAAAATCATTGACCTGAGTTACATATCTACCTTATTACAAAAGTTACGCAAACATATATACACACAAAAAAAAGCAAACCTGAGGATTTGTAAATGCTGGATACGGAATACCGATAGCGATCACAAGACGTGCATATGCATCAGAAAAGTCTAAGCCTTCGCTAACTTTACCACGACAAACAGCAAATATAATTGATCCTGTCTGATTTGGTGTATTTGAATTTCTTTTCGGTGTAGATGAGGACAAACCATCATTAGTATCCTTATTTGCATTGATTGATTTACGTCTTGATTTTAATTTCTCAGCTTTTCGAATACTTTGATTTACGGAAGAATAAAATTCTTCTAACCAATCATCTAATCCAACTGATGAACGTGGTTCAATCATCACATGCTTTATCATATTCAACTGATTCAGTAATCCCGTTACCTGAACACAAAAAGCCATTGGGTAATGAAAACATTTACATTTTCAGTTTAAAAATTATACTACTCATTAGTAGCTGAAAGTAAAACAACAAAATATTGCGACAAATGACTTGGAAGTACAAGTACTTTGTATATTTTCAAATGTTATTTTTTTCGGGATTTCATTGACTTCACCGTAGATAACGGCTTCATATCAGTTAGATAACCCCCTGAAAACCAGGGAGTACTGAGCAACTGTTTTGTCTTGTCATTTACTGACGAAGAGCCCTAAACTGGGACGAGCTCGCCTTGTAACCAGAAGGTCCTGGGTTCGGATCCCGGTGGATGCGTACTGTTGAAGAGTCCCAAACTAGGACGAAACAGCTGTCCAGTACTCCCAGGTTTTCCAGTGGTTCTCTAACTGATGTCAGCTCATGATGAAATCCTCCATCCAATCAAACAAAATCCCTACAAAACCAATACTGGGATGAAATACTTGACCAGTAGTATCCCTGATTATCAGTAGTTCTGACACTAACGTCAACCACTGGTGAACTTTTACAATTAGCTATATGGCGAAGTTAAACTTCAAGCACCACCAGCTGCTAATCAGCGAATGATATCAAACGCACCAATCACGCGAAGGAGGCATCTATGTGTATGGAATACATATATTTATGAAAGAAATTGCATAAAAACTGTATAAAAGTGTTACAGAGGATACCTTTCTCTCATATGTGATAAAAATAGCTCTCAGTTTTAGGTTGGAGTATCAACAGAGTATAATTCGGTTCTGGGTAAAATTTACTTTGATAAAGGCTCATAGTGTTATGCAGCAATATTTACTGAGTAATAGATGGTGATCGAAACGTGGTCATCAGTAAATATTGCTTACTATATAACACCGTGAGACTTTATCAAAATAAATTTTACTCACAAGTGCTACCCTTATATCAACAGAGAAATTTAACAACATACTATGCAACTAGTTATTTAGGTATTCTAACCCTAACAATAACCCTAACCTTTCCTGAACCTAACCCTAACATGAAACTAACCCTAAACTAGCTGTCATCTAACTCAAATCAAACCTACTGTGGCCTTTGGTAGGTTAACTTAACCTTCACTTGTCCTTGGGCTTAAAGAGTAACTTAATCTTTCTCAAACCTATACTGAAACTTGCCAGATATCCCATTTAATAACATAACACTTCATTGAGCATATTCTGATTGATGATGACATCATAATTTGCCAGGTTTCACTAACTTGCTCAGTGAGCGTTTCAAGATCACTGGTGAGGTCGCACTCCGTTGGCAGTTTAATTGGCCCAGCTCTCTCTTTCTCTCTCTCTCTCTCTCTCTCTCTATATATATATATATATATATATATATATATATATATATATATATATATATAATTTCTAAGAAACAACATCTCGTGGGGGAAACGGTTACCCAAACCGATTTATTGATAAAAATACAACAGATCACTAACTCGGTATCAAAGGATACCATCTTCATGAATCTGGAATTCAAAGGTGATCAGGTTTCAGGAATACACAGAAATCGTCCACTGGAAAATAAGGACGTAACAGCAGTAAGGTGTTCGCCTCAGATGATCAGCTCGCAAGCTATTCTGACATACACACTGTTCTGGGTAGGGTGATAAGAGAGACGTTCACCCAAAAAAATTTTACACTCCGATTTACCTTGTAGTGGCGGTAAACTCTTATTGTAGACGCAATTCCAGCAGCCACTTCAAATAGGCCATGTGTAGAGCTGGATTCAAGATATTCAAGTGTTGGTTTGTAGGGATTAGATTGGTTACAAGATTTCATCATGAGCTGACATTGGTTACCAGGCGAGATCGTATACCAGAACCAGAAGGTCTTGGGTTCGAATCCCGGTGGGTGTGTACTGCTGAAGAGTCCCAAACTAGGACGAAACAGCTGTCCAGTACTCCCTGTTGGTTTTCCAATGGTTCTCTGACTAATATCAGCTCATGGCTTCAAGATGTTATCCCCTGGTTTCTATGGTCGCACAACATTAATGCTTCTTCTGTTTTATTTACCCCCAAGAAAATTACCGACACTTCCTATTAAGATCTCTATAAACATTTTGTTTCACGAAATATATATATATATATATATATATATATATATATATATATATATTTCCTAACCAAACTAGCCTGTTATGCTCTGACTGGTCAATTCTAGGTCGCTATGCTTTAAATACGCCCCAAATAAAAATAATAATGTATTGCTTACCTCCCATCTCTGTACAAGTTTATCCAATAAACTATACGATGGTAGAAAGCATAATACACCACCGGAGACAATACGACAAGCATTCATGATAACACAACCAATTTCATCTTGAAATGTAAATGTATTCTGATGCTGGTAAGTAGCACATATACGCTTAGCATTAGGTCCATGTGATAGGGTTGTCACCAATAAACGATCACTTGATATAACATGATTTGCTTCTAGACGGATAGGAAAGTCGACGCCTAATTCCGCTTCAAGTGAATTCAATGGTGATAATGTTCCACTCATTAGGATAACACAATGTGATATTGACGCCAGCTGAGTAAATACTACTGAAGGATTTAAACACCAAAAATTTAAGGATAATTCACGACATTCAACAAGACGAAGCTGTAAATTAGGGAAGAAATAAAATTATAAAATAAGGTAATTAGATTTATTTTATTTATTTATGTCCAAACCCAGTTCACTCTTTTAACGGTTTGAAAAAATTTAGGCATTGGGTATGTGATACTCATTATAATAAAGGTTTTAGAATTTCCCAACGAATGAATGAAAAACAAAACGACATCTCCATTTTTACTGACATTTCGCTATTTAATGTTTCTGCTAGTAGCTTTATCAAAGTATTTGCACAATTGTGCGGAAGTTCAAGTCGTCACACTCCACTTCTTGTAGCACACAAACCAACAGAAGAAATGCATAATAGAAACAGTAAACAGAGGTGTACGACAAAGGAATAGTAATGACGAAGAACGATGTAGTTTCATTTGAAATTATAAGTCACAAGGAGGGGATCCATCTGCACCAGACATTGAGAACAATTTCGAGCCATATCACCAATTGTTTCCAGCCTTCATTGGTTTTTACCGTCCCGAGGACACCAACCCGGAAGTTTGCACCTTCCTACGTGGCTTAAACTAACTGTTGTAGATTTTATTGACTGGTGAAGCCATGTTTTGGTTTAGCCGCTCTTTTCCAGCTCTTTTCCAGCCCGTTTGTCTGTCTGTTTTCGACCTAGAACTTTGCACCGATGTGCGGCAGTTCCAGCCTGACCGTATGTCAGCTAACATTGCCCATCCGTCGAGGAAGGCGATGACTAGGCATATGTAGTACATGTCCTAACCATCTCAGTCGATGTAATTTCACAGCCTCATCGATTGATTTCTCCTCCTTACCTAGAACTCGACCTCTAACCTCAATATTCCTCACCTTATTATACCACTTCACACAGGAGATAGAGTGCAGGTACCTATGATTAAAGACAGCTAGCTAATCTTTTCATGTCTTCCACTCTCAATGGTCAGGTCTCGCTCACAGCCATAAAGGAGGACGGAGCGGACTGCTGAGCATTATACACGCCCCTTGGTTGATAGCCGGATATCACGTCTACACCAGACACGGCGTAAACTGGCAAATGCCAAACTAGCCCTCTGTATCCGTTCTGAGATTTCGTCAGAGATCCACCTGTTGGCACTGGCTGATGGTACTCCCCAAATGAGTGAAGCGGTCAACGTGCTCTACCACTTCACTCCCTATTTCTAAACTAGGAGTCAGTGTGGTCCAGTCTAGTCCTGTAACATCATCTTGTATTTGGTAGGAGCAAATCGCACGTCAAACATTCGTAGATTGCAGCTCAAGGTGCTTAGAAGACTCTGCATCTTGTCAGTGTCCTCGCCTAGAAGGACTATATCGTCTGCATATTCTAAGTCAACAAGATTATTCCCTGGTAGCAAGTCAATCCCTGAGTCTCTGAAGTGAGTTAGGGTTAGTTAGTTAGTTAGTCAGTTAGTTAGTTAGACCTACAAAACAAGCAATATACAAAAAAAACTATGGTTACTTTGGTTCTCAGAAGCCATTGCTGTCAAAATACTTCGACTCAACCTCTGAATACAGAAAGAGTGTGACTAAATCTCTCACTACCCTGATAACAGTAATTGTTTTGTTCATTTGCGTAACAACATTCCACTTAATTTTAGCTCACACATATTGATTTGAACTCACTGCTAAGTTTCTACATTTATTCACTTATTTTTCTATCATAATTTGATTTTCAGTATGCAGCCGGCGAAGGCAGCTCTTGATAAAATTCTGCAGCAGCCTGTTCGAAACGCTTCACGTGACATACTGGTCATGTTTCTGACCTACATAGAACAACTGACTTCACATTTGTGTTGATAAATCCGAATCTTGTTGTTTATACTGAGAAAGAGTGCAGAAGATTTCCAAACTGGTTTCAGGTTGATGAAGGTGTGCCTTGTCTTTACGATTCTACCTGACTTTGACATCTACGTCCGATACGCTCTGCTACCAGCCTCCAAAGCCTCAGGATGGTCGGGGGTGGGTGCCTTGCGCTGCGGGTTGGCCACCCCTCCGCACACCTCTTGAAATACTCCCACATGACCGGGCGTCTTACATAGCCTCTCCTGAGGAAGTCCTACTCACTGCCTTCACGTGGCGGAGGTGTTTCTCACCAAAGTGAGAGGGCGAAAGCGGATGCCCGGCGCTCTCCACCGGGTTGACTGTCCATTGGATGACAGTCTAGGGGAGATGGCTAAACCCTGATTCCAAACCTCCAACGATTGGCGTATGAAGCTCACTGGAGCTCACCGGCAGACGTATGGACAAAGGGCTTGTTGGATGTCCTGGATGTCTGGCCCCATTCAAAAAGGCGTATGAACCGAACTCCGGTCACCGGCTGGCTGCCAATGGATAGTGGACTCCTTACTCCACTCCTACTGCCTTGTAGGTCACACTTGGCTGTGTAAAGGCTAGAGCTGCACTCTCAAACAAAAGGCCGAGCGATGCTGGGGACATCACTCGTACCAAATTCCCATGAAACTTCATGAACTCTCTTACAAATTGCCGCGCCTGGGCAGCGATGATTCGAGACGCTCATGAAGCCGGCTCATCCTCCCGTAGGAGATAGCCGAAGTAAAGTAAGTAAGTAAGATATGTCGACCTATATAGTTGAAACGATGCTTCCTAGATAAGTGAAGGCAGGAAGTAACCTCAAATCTATTCTGGTTGATAATTATTGATGCTGATTGCTGTCAATGTTGGTTGGTTATCTTCATCACCTTCCTCTTCTCTATGTTCCACATGGAGTCCTGTCTTCACTACCTACCTGCCTGCTTCTTCAGCCAGTTTGCTGGTTTTCAACCTACCTGTAAGTCTTCGAATTTGTAAGACATTAGACATTATATCTTCCATACGCAAAATCCAAATCTTCTTGAGTCTTCTCATTGGTGGTCCAGCGCATATTCCTGTATTTCTCTCTCTCTCTCTCTCTCACTCCCAGTTCACAGTCTGACGCATAACTCAGTCCACCCCAACTAAAAATATCATCGGTGATAATAGGCAGGCAGTCAACTTGTCTTACTTCTTGTATGTACTTTGAACGCCTCTCTGAGTTTCCTGTTGTGGATCACTTGACACATGGCATTGTCATATAGGCAGTCAGCTGTTGAATGAGGTTGATAAAGACTTGGGTATTTCACGCCATAGTGTAGAAGTAGTTTCCAAATTACTTCTCGATCAACGTTGTCTGTCAAAGGCCTGCCCGAAGTCGATGAAGCTGAAGTAGACAGAGGTTTGACTGCTATTCTACGCTTTGTTCTGTGATAACGATACGTAGAGTTGCAATTTAATCAGCATATGATTTGCTGATATATATATATATATATATATATATATATATATATATATATATATATATATATTATTTAACTGGTTAATGGTGACTAGCAGCGGAATTCAGGATGTTCATTTTGTCCTGTCTGTTACCCGTCATCTGGATGTATCTGAAATCCCGCAGTCAGTGATAGTATTCCCAAAGAAACTCGAACTCAGTACCCATCATTTTCAAACACAAAAAGCTCTTTCCACTTAGCCATTTGGGCCACAAGAACCACTACTTATGTTTAAAACGATGGGTGCTGGTTTCCAGTCTCAGTGGGAACACCTCCATCATTCGTGAGGTGAACCGCAGGTATACACTCACAATAGCCCACGAGTCCCAAATAGGACAAAATGCTCAATCCTAGATTCCACAGTCTGCAAGTCATCACCATCCACTAAATTACTCCAAGTTAATCCTTAGACATCGTTGAAGCGTCCCAACTAGGAGCCAACATGGCAACACACAGGCCAAACATTTCGGTTCAATCAATCAATATTTTTTTCCTTCACGTTCCCAGTGGAACATAGGGCTTCAAGCTAATGGCTTGAAGTTTCTGTAGCAGTGTTTATTTTACAGGATGGGGTTGCTAGCCTCATGCTCAACCTTTCCTCTTTACCAGGATTATTTCTGGCTTGGCGAGGTAAAGGAGTGCGTCGGCAGGGAATCGAACCCCGGACCATATGCATGGTCGGCGAGCGTCCTAACCGCTATGCCACCGACGCAAATCAATCAATAGGAAAATTAAAACATTTTTCACATAAAATACCTTTGGAGGCTTTTTAGTAATCCATGAGTCCAGTTTTGTTTCATTCAATTCAGCACCAACTAAATTCAAGTCTTTAGCAGATTGTTTCTCATATCCAACTGTCTCAACAAGGACAACTCGATAATCTGATAAATGGCACATATTATCTCTGAAAGAAGAAATTTTAAGAAGAAAACGATGAAGACTTGAGAGAATGCCGGGGGGGGCGAGATGATTGAGAAATCAATACACATGAAAGCAGATGAAATAAATTCAAATGAACAATGATAAACAGGAATTTACGGGGGAGAAAAATAACTGTATGGAAGATTTGTTGGACCTAGTGAAGATGGCATCCATCTGCACCATCGAAGACGATTTTGAGTCATGTCATTAACAGTCTCCAGCCATAAAGCCCTTAGCATCTAGAGGCGCTCTCTCTATTCGAACTCACACAGAGAGTTGTCATCTGAAGTGATGACAACCAATTGTGTCCATCATAGATGCCCATTGCTAGCTGATATAGGTGCAGGTTGGAAAAGAGCCAGTGGTGGCCAAACAAAAACATGGCCTCATCAATCCATGAAATCCTTGACAGTTAAACTGAGTCAGGTAGGTAGGGAGATGCAGACTTCCGGGTTGGGACCCTCGGGACTCTAGGAATCAATGGCTGGAGACAATAGATGACATGGCTCAAAATCGTTGTCAATGGCCAGCGCAGATGTATTCAGTCTCTGTAATCTTTCATATTCCTTTCTACCATTACCCATTCTGTTTCACTCTTATACTTGTCAAACTTGTCTATTGATTCTCTTCACTCATCTTCTTGTCTACACTTTTGTGTGCTATTTGGAACGTGGCAACTCGAACTGGTGCACTTCGGTGCCAAGTTCTATGTTGAATCCAGACAGAATTCCATCATAGATGTACTATTGGAATACACCTTAAATGAAACTTAGTTAATCAGCACCTCCAGGATCCTCCCCACATAGCTCACAAACCAGTAAGTAGTTAAAGACTTTGTGGATTTAGGTTATGTGTTTCGGGTGTCAGCAGTGTCAATCAACTCTACCAAACCGATTTCACGTCAAGTATTATTCAAAGAGGAAGGTGATGGTGATGGTGGCTCGACATACGTAACACACATCTTCGCCAACTCAATTTTAATGCAGCTGCTTTATGTGATACTATCGATCAGCTTTCCCTTCTTACTCCGAATGCTATTGGTCACATTCTACCACCTAAAAGGAGAGACAAGAAGCGGATACTTTTATTATGGTCAAAGACAGCTGGCCTCGTGAAGTTCTCCACTTTCAACAGCTAAGTTGGTTGAATGCATGTACACACACACACACACATAAACATACACAGAAAGAGGAAGAGAGAGAAAACTAACTAACACACTAACTGCCAGCAAAATTTACCTACCTGAACATATAATTTAATACAGTGAATAAAGCATTAAAGAAATGCAATGTTCGTTGACTTGGTTTAGGTTGAAATTGTCCATTACTTTGATTCCTACTCCTATATCGATCTTCATCATTTTCAGCATCCATTGCAGCTGCAGATAATTTTCGATAGGCATTCTATAAAATCAGAAATAATAAAAGGAGAACAATAACATCGAATAAATCTTTCTGGAAGAAAGGTAGTCAGATCATTTGTTAGCGAGGTTCACGAATAGCATCCCAGGGGTGCGAACGTTCAAACGACCTTGAACACTTGCCAGTCGTTGGTTGAGGAAACTTACCATTATTCTAGCGCGCAAATGAACGTTGTTCATCTCCTCAAATGTAAATTTCATCCAGATCACGTATTTCAATACTGCTTAGATAATGGATTAATAGAACGTACTCGAGTACGTAGTTGTGGTGCTTCTATGAACCTGCAGCCATATACCCAAGTCATTGATGGATATATATTTAGATGTACACAGTGTAGGAAACGAATAAGTGTTCGTACTGGTAAGTGACACTCTCAGTTAATTGTCTTTTAGGAACTTTCGTTGATCAATATCCTCTTTCTGTGCCATTACTGGATTTTAAAGTCCAGGGTGAGATCAACTGCGGCTCAGACAGAAAACACGTTAACGTCTACTGTGCAATGGTTCCAGTTTTGCGTCATGGAAAATGAATAGTATTACTCAAGTGTTGCGAGGAGTCGGTGTTGTCGTTCATATCGATGAAACGGTCCTTATAAAGAAGAAGTACAATCGAGGACGTGCTAGAGCGAATAACGTTTGGGTTCTGGGAACTTATGACACCCAGATTCGTAAAGGATTTATCGAGCTTATTCCAGATAGGAGTGCAGACACACTTCTCACTATTATTCAGAGGCTTGTCTTGCCAGGCACTACCATTCACACGGATGAATGGGCGGCATATAACTGATTATCGGATTTGGGATATATACATCACCGAGTTAACCATTCTGATGACTTCGTCGATCCCAGAACCGGTACTCATACAAATTCAATAGAAGGTTTCTGGGGAAGACCCAAAAATAGAATAAGAGCTATAAACGGCTCTCAAAATCGAGTTATTTTTAGTCATCTAGGTGAATACATGTATAGGAATTGGTTTAATTCAAAAATTGACACTCCCCAAAATAATTGGGACATTTTTACCTCATATTAGACAAAAATACCCTGTTTAATATGGTTTTCATGTTTTTTTTAATGTAAATATACGTAACTTTTGTGCGAAAATCCTCCATCCTTCTGATTGGTCCACTAAAGGTCACTAGTGCGTTCGCATCACTTGGGACGCTATTGTAGAACTTTGCCCATTTGTTCATGTAGAGCTGAATACAACATCAATTGTACCGTGCATCATCCACTTATGCAAACGGTCCCCCTGAAAACTACTGAGACTGGTTATGAGAAGGAGGATAGAAGTCTGTTTCGTTCTGCAACAGAACCAAGAACCCTGTGAACACTCAGGGCACGCAGCTCTTATTTGAGAAGTCCTTCAAAATCCTATACAAGATTGATATGTATCCACATGATGTGTGTGTTTTGTTGTTGACAGTCTGTTATATTTTGCTATGTGTATATGGATCGATATTTCACTATCAATGACAATATGCTTTTGTCTGTCCACTAACTAAATAAACATGTATGACCTTGTTGTCACATGACATTACAACCAATCATGTTAAAACTGGCTATTTATTGGTTCATGTGTATTAGCCATTTTCATATATACTTTTGTATTAGACACGTTTCGTATATCTAAGTCCCCTTCCACTCGCACACTTGTGTGACATTTATTTTCCTTGTCTGGAAAATACATGTATCATCGTAAACCTGGTGGTCTTCTGATTTCCCTCTTTCCGCGTCAGGACTATTAACTACTCGACGAGTACATAACAAAGGTCTGATCAAGGCCTGTCTCAAAAGGAATGACTAGTCTACGACTTTTTGAATAAAATTATCCTTAATTGTTTACGTTTCTTCACTGAACTTTCTGTCCCCTTTTTTTTAATTAAATTCCCTATTTGTATTACTCGGACTAAGCTTTACGACACCAGCCAGTATATCTTTTCTCTAATCAGAAATAACACTCTCGGATGTTTGCACCCGATTGTTACACATTCATATATTTAAAGCCTAGTTGATAACTTTGACGAAAAGACAAAGATTTCTTCATCGAAATCGCTTCTCTGTTTTGTTTAATATTAATTTGTTTATTATATATGTCATACACAATGTGATGAAACAGTATTATTTACTGGATCACAAAGTTTCGAACACAATTTATTCATGTTCATAATCATATTACCAATCATAATCACACAACTTCGAAACTTCAGGTTTATAGTTTTATTTGTTCTCGCCCATTTGTCGTCGTAAGGGTAGTAGAATTTTCCAGATATTCAGTTCGACAGGTGTTGAATCATTCCTATTACACGTGTTTGCAGTTGATTCGATAACACAAAGCTTCTGTTATCAATCTATCCCTCCCTCCATCCTGTTACACTAGATTATAAAACTGTCATCTTATCCCCATCATCATCCTATTGTATGGTTGTGTGTAATTACACGTGGTGAGTGCTATGGCTGAACTATTCTCCAGATTTCTTACTATCTTATTAGGGTTAACTAATCCAGATTTTGCTAGGCTTTTGTGCTCCACTAGTCTGACTAACTGGCTCACCCCGTTCTACTAATTTGCTCAATGTATTTGACCCGACAGTTATTCTAGGGTATTAGATAGACTAAATTGTTTTCTTTAATTGGCTCCATAGGATTGATCCTCTAACCGACAAAGCCTGTTTATAATTGAGTGTGTGGGTTTGAACTTCAGCCACTTTTATTCCTGCCCGCATTGTTAAGAATTCTGCGTAAGGTTTCCGAAGATCCTTCTTTGTATGGAAGTAATACTGATGATTTAGACTCCTTATTTTCGGTGTCGTCATTATCTTGGGGATGTTTGACATGCATGTCCTCCTTAACATTATTATCACCATCACTATCAGTATTATTATTTATTTTATTTTCATATTTTACTACATACTTTCTGATTAATTTATCAGGGTAATTGTTACGTTTCAAGGCTTCTGTTATATGCCTCACTTCCGGTCTTAGATTTCCTTTGGTACTACTTAGTTTTTGTGCTGTATTACTTAAATATTTCACTTATCCTACAAAGTGAGAGAGTTGTCTTGTGGTCACTAATATTCCCGTTTATGGCAGATATATTCATGGATAGGTGGGAAAACATAGCAGTTGAAACGTACACCCCCACTCCAAAAGTATGGTGGCGATATGTAGATGACACATTCACTGTACTTAGAACACGGGATATAAACAGATTTTTTGAAAGCATCAAGTCAAAGGTGAAGGCAATTCAATTCATTTATGAATTGGAAAGTCAAGAAAGTAGTACTTCCATACAAAGAAGGAACCTCGGAATCCTTACGCAGAATTCTTAACAATGCGGGCAGGAATAAAAGTGGCTGAAGTTCAAACCCACACACTCAATTATAAACAGGCTTTGTCGGTTAGAGGATCAATCCTATGGAGCCAATTAAAGAAAACAATTTAGTCTATCTAATACCCTAGAATAACTGTCGGGTCAAATACATTGAGCAAATTAGTAGAACGGGGTGAGCCAGTTAGTCAGACTAGTGGAGCACAAAAGCCTAGCAAAATCTGGATTAGTTAACCCTAATAAGATAGTAAGAAATCTGGAGAATAGTTCAGCCATAGCACTCACCACGTGTAATTACACACAACCATACAATAGGATGATGATGGGGATAAGATGACAGTTTTATAATCTAGTGTAACAGGATGGAGGGAGGGATAGATTGATAACAGAAGCTTTGTGTTATCGAATCAACTGCAAACACGTGTAATAGGAATGATTCAACACCTGTCGAACTGAATATCTGGAAAATTCTACTACCCTTACGACGACAAATGGGCGAGAACAAATAAAACTATAAACCTGAAGTTTCGAAGTTGTGTGATTATGATTGGTAATATGATTATGAACATGAATAAATTGTGTTCGAAACTTTGTGATCCAGTAAATAATACTGTTTCATCACTGTTTATGACATATATGGAACTACATACTACCACAGTGGCCAACTTTTACACATACATTAATATGTTTCGTTTCAACTTGATCCAATGAGTATGCGCACTCTTCTCGCTCAAATATAATTCATTACAAAATTGGTAGTTCAGTGAAGAGAATCTTACCAAGAATTCCCCCTTGATTAAACCATCTCTTGGTCTGTCTTCGTATAAATGCCTAGACGATGACTACTCTTGTGGTGAGGGCAGCCTGCTAGCCAATTGGTTGACATTAATCTACGTCAATGTCTAGGTCACTAATATGGGCCGTGAGAAAATATGAACAAGGCTGTTTCAACAACCAATCACAGCACACTTAAACGTGGGCAAATATGATTCGCAGATAGATGGCTCCACTTTCCGAGGAACTCGGAAACAACCAATCGGAGGACTGCGTTTGTTTACTTGACTAGGCTATAATAATGTATGTGAAATTTATATAAATACGTGTTGATTTCCGTAATAAAACGATCTGTTGCCTGACCCTTGTCTTCTGTTGTTACACTCTCATGAATTAAATTTAGCTTACCATAAGTATGTGTACAGACTAGAGTGCATAAAAGAAAAAATTAAAATGAGAATATCTCTTACCCATGAATCATATATATATATACATATCATGGCTCTATAAGAGAGACAGTAAAAGATGGAGTTACAGTGAGAATCTATGATAGCCCATACGCTACTTCCACTTCCGCCTAACATCATCTTCTTCTCCATGTCACCGCCATTGGCTTTTCGCATTCATATCCCACCCGTCAAAAACCTGTCTGATGATGACATGTGATGTCCTACTCAACAAACTCTCATCAGCGTACATTAAATCTATGCACAACACTTCTTTCTGCATATATATATGTTGGGCAATACCTGTCTCATCTGATTGATATTAACTAGTTGACTGAGTCCCTTATTGATTATTTGTTCCAACCAACCATCTGATATTCAAAGATCAACAGAAGACAGACACGTTGATGAAAGTCTTTAGTAGCCTATTGGAAATGTTGTTTTGTGTGAAATGTGTACCAGTTCAATGGGTTTATATTGGAAGCAATAATTCATATGTGGATTTTCTTACTGATTTCAGAGGAATGAATGCTTCCTAAAACCTGGCTGGCTGCCTGGCTTTGGCATCCTCAACTGTGCCACCTACAAATGAAACGATGCCTTCCAGGTCGGCGGGAGAGACGACTACCCCATGACAAGCTTCAATGGACCTAAATCATTTGTCCACTAAGATACTACTGAGTTATCGATTTGAAATCTATTGATTTCTATTGAAATTGGATAGCCCATAACTGAGGAGAGCGTATTTTTACAGTGGAGTTCAGCCTTATTCATCTAAGCGCATTCTTCTAAACAAACCCATGGAATTTAGGTTCCAAGCCTGTTCCATCCACCGAGAATCCTACAGTAAGATAGCACTGTGGTGACAGTTGTCTGCAAGCCAAAATTGTAAACAAAAATTTACGTCAGTGTTTAGGTCCCGAATCGGGGTCATGTGAAAAAAGAAAAACAATAACAAGGCTTAATGTTGAGGAATTCACCAACCAATCACAGCAGGCTTAAAGTGTGCAACTACAATTCGCAGATATATGGCCTGACTTTCTAAGGAACTGTCACAAAGAGATGACAGAATAACCTTCAGCAAGAAAACAACCAATCAAAAGACTTTGCTTCCCTGCTAACAATAACATAAAAATCTATGAATATCTCTTGATTTTCTCGATAAACGATCCGTTGCCTGGCCCTTGTCTTCTGTCGTTACAGTACCACGACTAGCCTACCCATATTGCCTGTGGCTTATTGCTAAATGCATGAAAATGTGAGTAGTTGTTGAGGAGGGACTCCTGAAGACCCCTCCCACCCCTAGAAATGACATATACACACAAACACACACACACTTAAACTAGGTCACAGTTATATACGGGAGACAAAAGAATGGTGAAAATTAGTAGAAAAAAAATGCAATTCGAAAAGCAGTGGGAATAACCAAGAACTAACACTTTGTTCTATCATTTTCTCTGGCCCAAGACCAACAGTAGCCATCAGTCCACAGATTTCACGTCCAGTCCAAACTTGTGTTGGTTGAGTTGTTTCACCAGCTCTAACAAGACGTGACAATGTTAACTGCATAACACGTAACAAACTATCAATCTGGAAAGATAGAAATTTGTGTGAAGAAGAAAAGTGAAAAATAAAAACAATCGGTAAACTTGAATGATTTAACACTTATTAAGTGATAAAACTAAGAACCAATAGTGAACGAGGTGACTTTTTTCCCCTTAATCTCTCATTACTAAAATTGCAGGCTTTTTGGGGGAAAACTTAACTATAAATTTTAAATGTTAAAACTTAACTAGTATATGTATACGTTTCTCCTATCACTTTTCAGTATTATTCCTTCCGGGTGCAACATAAAGCCTCAGTAGCAAATCGAAATTGCAGTCGGTTCCCAGCTATCATGCTGATTAAATGGTTCCGAGAATGACCGAATTCTTTCATTTCCGCAGCATATGATCCCCCTCAAATCACTCTTGGATGTCTAAGACGCTGGTTCTCATTAGGATGCCACCTGAGAACCTCTATCTGGAAATGGGAGGATATCGACACATCTCTATTACACTCCATCCCCTAACCTGGCCTTACGGCTGCCCTTAAGCTTTCAATTCGTCCGCATTGCATGATCTCCTACGTATGACTCTTCGCTTCTTACTCGACTTTAACCAGTGTGCCTGGTGTGTGATGGCATTAAACATTCTCCTCAGTATATGACCAATCCATTTCCATTTCTTTCAGCATAATTGTTGGGAAAAACGTTCATTCCTTCTTCTTCTTTCTGGTCGGCCAACAAATCTTTAGTATCAAGTAAGGGCAGATGTTGATGAAGATCTGAAGTAACGTGTTGGAAATGCTTTTAGTGACGCGCGTGCCAGATGCTTGAAACACACAGAAGCAATGACTTGATATTACAGTGTTAAAGTTTTCGATGTTCTTCCATGAAGTGTAAGTATTATGGATCTTTACAGTAATTTCACAGTGATGAAATAATCTCCACATCTGATAACTAGTTATTTTAAACACTGACCGTCGACAATCTGACTGGGTGTCCATTATTTATTTTATTTATTATTTATTTATACGCAGAAAAAACTTGGTACAATATGGCACCAAGAAAGATGCGCCACACAATAATAATAAGACAACATAGATCAAAAGTAAAAAATATAAGTAGAGAACGGATAAAGAACTTCATCTGGAAGGAAAGCAGTCATGCTTAACAAGTTCAAACAGTATTCGTTAACTATCATCAGGAAGGGAATAAAGAAGGGAATTGCAACACGTTCGCCATTGATTACGATTCTTGGCCATATCCGATAACGTTTCGAGCTACCTCGTGGACCCCAACCAGGGAGTCGTGACGCACCAACCGATGCTAATCTAGCATAAACATTCTTCATCCCACAACGCCACGTCATGGATTGACCACCCCTCCGCCTTTTCCATCCCGTCCCAGTGCTGGCTAGCGAACAGAGACCTGTACGGAAGCCTCTGGGATGACATTCACAGCACATGTCCAAGCCACCGGAGCCGGTGTTTTCAGATGACGACACTCAATGAATGGTGATCTCCACTGTGTTCAAACACACGCCACCGAACCTCAGAATTACTCACGTGATGATGCCATCGAACGCAAGCTATCCTGCGGAGACAGCGATGATCGAACACGCAGAGTCGCCGCACATCCTCAGCCTAATCGGAGAGGCCAGCTTTCACGGGCGTAGAGCAAGACAGCCCGCACCGAAGCATTGTATACCCGACCTATGACAGCCAGACTAGCGTTGAGACGGCGCCAGAGGTGGCTCAAGTTGATGTATTAGAAAGGTATTAGTACTACATAATACACATCAGTTGTCTTGTTTTCTGACAGGGACGGACTCTAAAAGAAATACTGTCTGGCCTACGCTACCCACCGACTATGCACACTTGCATGCGCCTAGCGCTTATGTGATGCTACCATCTAACTGCCGAATCCTACATAAGTGGAGAAGTGTTCAGTTCAATGGGTTTCGAATTAATTTTCTTTAAGAAGTCACCATTGTGCTTGTTAACTGTTGGAAAACAAATAGCAGTGTTAGGTTAATTTTGTAAACTTTTTGTTTTATTCCTTTACGTTCGCAGTGGAAGATAGAGAGGGGGGGGCTTCAAGCTAGTGGCTTGAAGTTTCTGTATCCGGTGTGTGTTTATTTTTACGGGATGGGGTCGCTAGCCAGCCTCATGCCCAACCTTCCCTCTTTGCTAGTCGTATTACTGGCGCTTAGTGAGGTAGAGGAGTGCGCCGGCCGGAGATCTAACCCCGGACCACCTGCATGGCTGGTGACCATTCTACCGTTGTGCCACCGAAGCACTTGTAAACTTTTAGTGTTGAAAAATTAAAATGTATCCAATACAAAAATATTTCTTGCTTGGATTATTCTTAAAGAAGGACTGCTGTTAAATGGATTGATTCTCTACAAATTATAGAATAGTTCATATAAGAGGATGTAAAGCGGTTAGAGAGCCAAGACGCACCCTCCAACACTTCACTCTAATGATTCTATAAAAATCAAGCTGCCTTATATTATACAGAAGGTCATAGCAGCTTGATATTCAAACAAGGATTGAAAATGGCAGTTAGAAAGACTTTCTCTACAGCTAAAATCTGAATAATTGGGAATATGAAGCCCCAGATATCGTCGCATTTCACTGTATCTACCAGTTTAAATGTGTGTGTGTGTGACCAAAAATATATAAGGAGGACTCACCGATCTCTGTAAATTTAGGCTTCAAAAGCAAATTCAATCCCCCGAACCTATTCATTGTGGAAACAGACGACTTAGGTCTTCCGTTGTGAAAAATGTTGTAGACAAAGGGCATAATTGTGATGGTTATAAGCTTTTGAAATCCATCCCTAAAGTGTTCCTGTTTGGTTTTTATAGAAGCCTTAGTGATTAAAAAAACGTTAAACCACCTTTATGTGTCGAAGAACAATTTGTTATCATATTAAACCGTGATAAGTGTAAGCTTATCGATCTCCATTATTGCTCTGACCTTCAATATAACCGTTTAATTTTAGCTAAGTCTATTCTTTCACCCACTTAACACTTTATTATTTTCAATATAAATTCCTTAGATAAGTACTTGTGTCATCTGATTGTTCGAAATGTGGTTTGCACATATATTATACGATTCAAATAAAATTTATTATGATCATTTACTTAGGTTCCAATTGGAGCCTGGGGCTTCAGTGGCGCATGTCTATTCCACCCTGTTCTCTGTGGTTATGTTTAGTTTGCTCCCCAATTGCTTATAAGCTTTCATTTCCTCCCTTATACGATCTCTTCCATGTCACTCTCGGACACAGGCCCAACTCGTTGTTCCCCTTTCGGGTTCCACTCCAATGATGACCTGGCGCCCATGGTATCACCCGATAGTCTCTTCAATGGCGTGTGTCCAATACATCTCTATTTTCTTTGAAATGTTTTTTTGGTCAGCAGTTTGGTGATTGGTTGGTTGGTTGGTTCGTCCCCAGAGTTTCTCGTTTCTAATTCTTTCTGGCTATCCGACATCCTGTGTGGAGCTGCTACGGACAGTGGCTGATCAATGTTTGCAATAGCCTGCTAGAAATGCTTTTCGTGACTTGCAGTTTGCAAGTGTTTGGCATATATAGAAGAAGTGACGTGTTGTAAATCCGAATTTTTCGGTTCTTTGTGCTGCGTTTAGCAGATTTTTCGAAACTGGTTTTAGAGTAATGAAGGTCTGCTTTTCCTTTCCGATTCTGGTTGATTTTAACATCGTCATCCGTGCTGTCGCCTGTAGTTGAAATGATGCACCCTAGGTAAATGAAGGAGGTAATCTCTTTCGAATTTCTTCTACTGATAGCCAGTGATGCTTGTTGTTGGTTATCTTCATCACTCCCATCTTCGCTATGTTCGCTTGAAGTTCTTTTGCCAACTTGATGGTTTTTTCCTGTAATTCTGCGAATTTATGTGATATTAGACATAAATTGTCCGTGAAATCCATATCTCCTTCCTGGAGTTTTCTTGTCGACTCGTATTTCTGTCTTCTCGCTTCCATGCAAAGTCACCGCATAATCCAGTCTACCACAAACAAGGGATATTATTGGTGATAGTTGTGGACAGCCTTGTCTTACTCCTCTCTTCACTTCAAAGGTCTTGTTGAGTTCTCTATTGTGGACCACTTGACTTGTGGGATTATCATATAACTTTAAAGGATGTGTAATTGACACTCTTGCGGGTGAACCACTGGAAGCTGTTGATAAGTTTGTATATCTGGGTAGTTGTGTGAGTGCTGGGGGAGGGGTGATGGATGAGATTTAATACCGTATAATAAAGGCTAGGGTGGCATACATCAACTTGAGCCACCTCTGGCGCCGTCTCAACGTTAGTCTGGCTGTCATAGGTCGGGTATACAATGCTTCGGTGCGGGCTGTCTTGCTCTACGCCCGTGAAAGCTGGCCTCTCCGATTAGGCTGAGGATGTGCGGCGACTCTGCGTGTTCGATCATCGCTGTCTCCGCAGGATAGCTTGCGTTCGATGGCATCATCACGTGAGTAATTCTGAGGTTCGGTGGCGTGTGTTTGAACACAGTGGAGATCACCATTCATTGAGTGTCGTCATCTGAAAACACCGGCTCCGGTGGCTTGGACATGTGCTGTGAATGTCATCCCAGAGGCTTCCGTACAGGTCTCTGTTCGCTAGCCAGCACTGGGACGGGATGGAAAAGGCGGAGGGGTGGTCAATCCATGACGTGGCGTTGTGGGATGAAGAATGTTTATGCTAGATTAGCATCGGTTGGTGCGTCACGACTCCCTGGTTGGGGTCCACGAGGTAGCTCGAAACGTTATCGGATATGGCCAAGAATCGTAATCAATGGCGAACGTGTTGCAATTCCCTTCTTTATTCCCTTCCTGATGATAGTTAACGAATACTGTTTGAACTTGTTAAGCATGACTGCTTTCCTTCCAGATGAAGTTCTTTATCCGTTCTCTACTTATATTTTTTACTTTTGATCTATGTTGTCTTATTATTATTGTGTGGCGCATCTTTCTTGGTGCCATATTGTACCAAGTTTTTTCTGCGTTTAAATAATAATAATAATAAATAATAATACCTTTCTCATTTTCCCGTATTTAGTAATAATAAATTCTAATAGTCTAAGGAATATATGCGTCAATGGTTTAGTATTAGAATGTTAACCAACCACCCAATTGTTTCGAGGATCGATTCCCGACCGACGCATTCTTAAACCTTCTTAATACAGTTTACTATCCGACAGTCATTCCAGGGAAGAGGAAAGATTGCATATACGGCTAGAAACTCTAACCACCATCACTATCACTCCCTCCCCGCTCTCCGTGAAGACACCATTGCTAGTGAAGGTCCAGAGTATAAAACTGTATGTTTCGCTCGGAAAAACACAGGGGTAGACAAGAAAAAGGACTGAGGAATACACACGAGTCACGATATTTACATGCACTCAAGAGAAATTATAACCACTTTGTTAAAAACAAGTTATTTTACGACAGGATAAAAGACTACTCACCATGTTAATTAAAGTAGAACAAGCTTCTGCCTCGAAATCAATCGTTCCTTAAATGGAGAGTAAAAACATGATGGATTAATTATAGGTAGGTAGTTAGTTAGTTGGTTAATTATTACTGAACTGCCGATTACTGGGCTAGAAGCCATATTTATTTTGTAAGGGCTGGTGATACTACTCAGTTGCCGAGAATGAAGTAGATGGAGCGGAACTCAGACCTGGAACTCACTGACTGGAGGTCAAATGACTACACCAATGAACCACATTTCCACACTAATAACAGTAAAGTTCGAACGTGTTAGGTGGCATAATAGGGCGAGTAATATTGAGGTTAGGCGTCGATCGAGTGCTAGGTGAGTTGGAGGGGAAATCAATCGACGAGGTTGTGAAGTTAGTTCAATTGAAATGATTAGGACATGTGTTAAGTATGCCTAGACAGTGTCTTCCTCTATAGGCAATGATAGTCGCTGACATAGGACAAGGTTGTAAAAGAACTAGCTAGTAGTGGTCAAATCAAAACATGGCTTCATCAGTCAATGAAATCCGTGACAGTTAGTTTAAGCCAGCCAGTCCATCCAGCCAAGCACGTAGGGATGTTTAGACTGGCTGTCTGTCTGGTTGGGTTCGTCAGGATGGTAAGAACCAATTAAGACTGGAGACAATTGGTGATATGGCTGAAAATCGTTCTTGGTGATGGCTGGCGAAGACGCATTCACTCTCTGTGATTTTTCATAACCGCTAAAACTTTATTGTTCTTCCATATTACTCTTCTTTTTCCCTCAGTCATATTTCTGTTTATTATCTCTCTCTCTCTTGTTCGATCCTCTCTTTTTGCTCTCTTCTCATCCTATGTGTGCTATATGGAGTGTGGTAACTCGAACTGGTGCACTTCTGTGCAAAGTTCTATGTTGAAACTAGGCAGATTTTGAGCTCTGTAACTTGTTAAGAGGATTACTACAATTGCAAAGTAAAACAATGTGATACGACTGATAAGTGTGCTAGTGTTTTATGTTACTTAATGATAAGTTGTCAATGTCCAGCTTTGAGATAATTTATGATCATTTAGAATCAGGCCTCAATTACGCAATATCACAGCGTTAATGTCTGACTAGCAGCGTTTCTAAAAATGCAGGGAATAAGTCGCCGCAAGATTTTGGACAGTCACTGCAGATAAACAGCTGGAAACCATTCACGTCAACCAGTACTGATTTGCCAGACAAACCGAAATGATTGGTTACAGGATTTCATCATGAGCTGACATTGGTTAGAGAACCATCGGAAAACCTGAGAGTACTGGACTGCTGTTTCGTCCTAGTTTGGGACTCTTCATCAGTACGCACCCACCGGGACTCGAACCCAGGACCTTCTGGTTACAAGGCGAGCTCGTATACCATTAAGCCACTGGGACCCGATCCAATGGCCCATGAACCCCAGTGGGTGCGTACTGCTGAAGAGTCCCAAACTAGGACGAAACAGCTGTCCAGTACTCCCAGGTTTTCCAATGGTTCTCTAACCAATGTCAGCTCATGATGAAATCCTGTAACCAATCAACCAAATCCCTACAAACCAATAATTTGAAAACACTGAAGAGCCGTTTCCGTCGCTATCGGACAACCTCATCAACACTGTACACGGACTGACTCATCTCAAAGAAGTGAATCAGTGAGAAACAAGCAAAATTCTGAAAGACCACTACTTTGAGTAGTATCCACCCACGCATATTAATCAGTAGCATGCATCATCATGATATATCGCTTGCTTTCCTGATAAGCGTTTGGGATATCATTTGCAGATCACATATTGTGATCTGAAAAATAACTTTGAGTCACTTTCAAACAGTAGCTTCGTATTTTGCTAAATGAGAGACTTAATATACACACACAGAGTATATAAACCCAGGGTAAGTAAATACCCAACTAGGTGAAGGTCACCGGTATATACAGTCAGACAAAAACAAATCATATGTCACATGTTTATAGAGAGCAAGGTCAGGCCAAGTATCTTCGATAACAGACACTAATTAATATACTTTCCACCTCATATAGTTGTGTTCTCGTTTAGGTAAAGCAGAATGGAAGAAACAGGTGGCTGACGTATAATGCTGTTGGCGTAGTCAAGCTGTATTCGTGATTACCGCATCTTTATCCAGCTTCGTCTTCCCCATCCCTGTTTTCAATTTTTGAAGACCCCAAACAATTTGCATACAGACAGGGCAGGAGCACGTTAGACGCTGCAGCCGTCTCACACAACAGTATCGTCTCATTATTAGATAAAAGTGCCAAATACGTTCGCTGCACGTTCTCCGACTTCACTTCTGCTTTCGACTCTGTACCTAGATGTCTCTTGCTAAATAAGCTTTCGATGACACAAACTGAGTCCTGGGTAACAAACTGGTTGCATTCCTACTTCTCAAACAGAATACAGTACACTGTATACAAAGGTAAATCCTCCTCTGCTGTACTCACTGAGCTGGTGTCCCCTAAGGTGCTGTACTCTCCCCACTTCTCTTTTTTTTTTCTACATGACTTACCATCTTCAAATGACATCAAGTTTGTTAAATATGTTGACGACCTGACTGTATCTTTGCCTCTCAAATGTCAAATCGACTGCTCCAAACTAAATGGCTTTTTATCAGAAATCAGCCAATGGTCCAAGGAAAACGGTCTAACCTTAAATCCCTCTAAATGCCAAACAGTCAATTTCACCTTTAGGCATAAATCTGACCTAAACAAACTGGTTAGCACTCACGAGGTGTGCAGCATAGATCATGGCACTGAAATAGAAACCAAGTCGGAAATTAAATATCTTGGCGTCATTCTGTTTGTTGATCTTTCCTGGTCGTCTCAAATCTTGGTGATTTCTAAGAAAATATTCCGTCTTACCTTCTACATCAAGAAGTTAAGATATTCTGGAATAACCCAACCATTACTCCTACGATTCGTTAACTCTTGCATCCTGCCTATTATTCTCTATTGTCCCCCCCCCCCAAAGTTTTTCCAGGGCTACTGAAGAAAGACTATACCTCATTACGCAGGATGTTAAAGGTTGTCAAGCAGGGCAAGCAACGTTCCACTTAACCGGCTTGTTAATATTCTGGTAGACAGACACTTGGACTCATGTGAAAAATGGGCTCAATCCATTTTATCTAACTCACACCACCCTCTTCATTCACAACTCTCCCCTTGTATCTCATCAGGCAGAACCAGAAGCCTATATAGAAAACTATACACTCGCACTAGCAAGTACAAAAACTCAACTATACCCTTCTTAGCTCGTGTTCTGTGCGATAAAGAAAGGATTAGGCGTGATACCCATAACTCATTAAGTAGTCAGTAGAACAACTGGATCTCGTCTTTCCAACTCATATCATTTATAGGTACAACGTTTTTCTTTCTTTCTTTTCCTTTTCTCTCTCTCTCTCTTTTTCTGTTATGTGCTGCTTTGTTTCTTTCTTCTGCTTACGCCAGTAAATATGCTACCATCTACTTTTCGAACACCTTCAAACATTCTGTTCAATTTTTGGCTTTGCTACCGACATGCCAATATGTTGTTGTAATAACTAACTGAGATTACTTTTAATCTATGTAGAACTTTATTTATTGTTAATGTACTAATTGGATGCAATACTGTAGTGAAATGCTGAGAATTCCATTCTGTATCACAAGTACTGTTTTGGAATAAAGCAAATTATTATTATTATTAAATCTCAATGCTATTCCAAAATAACGAAGCTGGCGCACATCATCCTATCAACTTACAGACACCACCTACTCCCACGTTCGAGCCCTGCTCCGCTTACTTCAGTCTTGGAAACTGGGTACTATCATCATCCCTCACACACACACACACATACACATACAGAGTAAGTGTAGCTCATAGCCTGGTACATGAAACATTTGTTCTGAATAACACTTCAAATAGGTGAACAAGTTAAGATTAGGTCTCAAGTTAAGATTAAGCAAAATACAACTTCGGACAGCAATGTACTGGTGTGTTTTTTTTAATCTACTTTATAATAAACCGAAAGCTTTTTCATTTTTGTCTATGTGAATCATGTAGGCGTGCTTGAATTGTTTATAGATAAGGGTTAATAATCAAATCAAGGTCTAGTTTTATCAAATGACCAATTTTACATAATTGTATGACATAGAAGTAACTTAACTGGTTTTCCTATTAAAATGTAGATTAAAAACAAATTCAGGCGATTTAAGTTAACCAACAAGCAGTACAGATAATATAATGTTAGGAATAAGCCTCTAATCTCTTTATGTATATTCATGTATTCACATGCCTTTGAAGATCACGGTGCTTACTTTGGGTTAAAATTTGGGAAGTTCTACAGAAGTTCATCACTTCCCTGTGTTTAAATAACAGCTAAGCCACATAGATTCACTTCAGAGACACTGGGATTGACTTGCTACCATAAGGGAATAAACTCGTTGACTTAGAATATGCACACGATATAGTTCTTCTAGGCGAGGACACTGACAAAATAGAGCAGAGTCTTCTAAACACCTTGAGCTGCAATCTACGAATGTTTGGCACGCGATTCGCTCACGCCAAACGTAAGATGATGCAACAGGACTGGACTGGACTGGACTACACTGACTCCTAGTTTAGAAATAGGAAGTGAAGTGGTAGAGCACGTCGACCGCTTCACTTATTTGGGAAGTACCATCAGCCCCAATATTGAGGTTAGGCGTCGAGTGCTAGGTAAGGAGGGGAAATCAATCGATAAGGCTGTGAAATTACATCGACTGAGATGGTTAGGACATGTACTACATATGCCTAGTCATCGCCTTCCTCAACAGATGGGCAATGTTAGCTAACATACGGTCAGGCTGGAACTGCCGCACATCGGTGCAAAGTTCTAGGTCGAAAACAGACAGACAAACGGGCTGGAAAAGAGCTAGCTAGTGGTGGTCAAACTAAAACATGGCTTCACCAGTCAATAAAATCTACAACAGTTAGTTTAAGCCACGTAGGAAGGTGCAAACTTCCGGGTTGGTGTCCTCGGGACGGTAAAACCCAATGGTTGGAAACTATTGGTGACATGGCTCAAAATCGTTCTCAATGGCGCAGATGCATTTCCAATGAAACTGTTTTGTTCTTCGTTACTAGTATTCCTTTGTCTCACACCTCTGTTTACTGTTTCTATTATGCATTTCTTCTACTTTCTTCTCTTTCTTTGTGTGCTACAAGGAGGGAGTGTGACGACTTGAACTTCCGCACATATGTGCAAAGTTCTATGTCGAAAACAGACAGACAGACAAGCTACATAGATATCCATGAAAGATATTGCAGTAATTCTGAGAATTAAACTTATCCAAGTAAACTTTGCAAAAACAAAAAACAATGCCTTTGTCACTAATTAACAATGATTTCAGTAGGAAACATTACATTTTTAAGCAGAAGGGGTGTATAAAAAAAGTAAAGAGAGAAAGTACATTAAATGCTATCTGGATTAAACACTACGCATAAAATCTATCTATCCTTTTAGGTAGACAGTTTAATGCAAATAAAAGATGCTGGATCTCCTCTGCCAATCAATGAACAGCATATCTTTAAAAGCTTCACTTTCAACAAACAGTTATGAGGTTTACATCATCCCACTTCACCTTCTTGGAATTGGGCTGTGCTTAAAAAGTGTAGGTCATTGAGAACTGAATACACATGGAAATGATTTTTCAGTTGAGAAAAGAAAATATACATCACTAGTAACTGGCTATGAACCACATGACTATCAATTAACCAGAGATCCTAGGCTCAGTAATCATGCATAGACTGAGCAGAACTCGGGAGGAACAAACGAGGGAAAATCAAGCAGGCTTTAGACCAGGTAGGGGGTGCATAGATCATATCTTCACTCTTCGACAGATTCTAGAACATAGACACACTTTTCGGCGTCCAACAATTGCCATATTTCTTGACTTGAAGGCGGCCTTCGACTCCGTGGATCGAAAGGTACTGTGGCAATGTTCGACTCTGAAGGGAGTTCCAAGAAAGTACATTGCACTAATCAAGGCACTCTATTCAAACACACGTAGTCGTGTAAGGGCTTATGGGGAATTGTCATCTGAATTGGTAACAACCAGTGGTGTCCGACAGGGATGTCCACTTTCCCCATTCCTGTTTAACTTCATCAAAAATGTGCTAATGGAAGTATACTTAACTGAACGTAACGACTTAGGAATCGACTTGTTACCAGGGAATAGTCTTATGGGCTTAGAATATGCAGATGACATAGTCCTGTTAGGGGAGGATGCTGACAAAATCCAGCAGAGTCTTCTGAACACCTTGAGCAGCAATCTTCGTATGTCTGGTATGCGATTCGCCCCTGCAAAATGTAAGATGCTGTTACAGGACTGGACTACGTCAACTCCTAGCTTAGTGATAGGGAGTGAAGTGATAGAACATGTTGACCACTTCACCTATTTGGGAAGTTGTATCAGCACTAACGGACTGATTGGCGACGAAATATCAGCACAGATCCAAAAAGCTCGAGCTGCTTTCGCTAACTTACTCCATCTCTGGCGTAGGCGTGACATCCGGCTATCAACCAAGGGACGTGTGTACTGCTCAGCAGTTCGTTCCGTCCTTCTCTATGGCTCTGAAACATGGCCAATACGAGTTGAAGATATGAAAAGGTTGAATGCTTTCGATCATAGATGTCTACGATCTCTTTCTCACGTTAGGTGGTGGTATTATAGGGTAAGTAATGTCGACGTTAGGCGTAGTGTTGGGCAAAGAGGGAAAATCAATCGACGAAGCTATAAAGTTACATAGACTGAGATGGCTAGGTCACGTGCTGCGCATGCCTAACCACAGCCTCCCCTGACGGGCATTGCTAGCTGATATAGGTGCAGGTTGGAAAAGAGCCAGTGGTGGCCAAACAAAAACATGGCCTCATCAATCCATGAAATCCTTGACAGTTAAACTGAGTCAGGTAGGGAGATGCAGACTTCCGGGTTGGGACCCTCGGGACTCTAGGAATCAATGGCTAGAGACAATAGGTGACATGGCTCAAAATCGTTGTCAATGGCCAGCGCAGATGTATTCAGTCTCTGTAATCTTTCATATTCCTTACTACCATTACCCATTCCGTTTCACTCTTATACTTGTCAGACTGTATTGATTCTCTTCACTCATCTTCTTGTCTACCTTTGTGTGCTATTTGGAAGGTGGCAACTCGAACTGCTGCACTTCGGTGCCAAGTTCTATGTTGAATCCAGACAGACAGAATTAACCAAAGCCAAAAACTGAAGTCAAATGCCTATTTTTATTTGACCCACTTAAACTTGCTAAACAAATTTCAGTGTAAATGACAAGTGGACCGGTAAAATACTAATTGTTTTCAAGTCAATTTTGATTTTTCCTGTTGGTTGATTGCACCGCACTGTTCGACCTCTGTTAAAATGCCGACTCCTAGTTAACCACGCGATGGCCCAAATGATCTAGTTGTCAAACGCCCTGGCGTTTGAAACATTGAGCATTGAGTTTGAGAGTCTCAGTGGGATCACCATCACTCCACTCGGGGAGCACAAGTAAATCCAGTTGACGAGACGAAGTATGCATATCCTGGCTATCACTGATAGCCACCATGCATCAAATCGCTTCTAGGCAGCATAATACTACTTGTCATTCAGTAGCCAATGTCTCTAAGCAACTAATTCTTTTCTACAGTCTGTATTGCCTATGGTCATTCTCCGCTGACTAACAAAGCTAGAGGATATATATATATATATACACAGTACAAAAATAACAACTCTTACTTAATCCATCCAAATCTTCTCTAGCATTCTTTAACTGATGTTCAGTAAGCGTAAATGAAGCAGCTTCACGTGAAGCATCTTCTATATTATGTGCTTCATCCAAAATAATAACATGATTAGAAACCTCAAGTGATGTCTTTAATCACAGAAGAAAAAGAAGAAGTCTCACAGTTACAAATCAATAGAATTCAACATACAGAAGCACGATTCAATGGATCCAGGAGATAATCATATGGGCAGAAAATAATATCCGCCGTTCTGGCTAATGATCGTGAACAATAATACGGGCATGAAGGAAGCTGAAAGTAAGAGGGAAAAGAATTCACGTGCATTAAATTAAAAATAAATAAATAGCAACTTACTGGAGTAAGCGCTTCAACTAAATCTTCAATATCCCATGGTCCTGAACGATCTAGTTTATTAATAGCATGAGATAGATCCGATTTCTTTCGTGGTACATCATATGGGCATACACCTGACTAAATTTTAAAAGTTTATTTTATTTTTAATGTAGAAAATTTTGTCAAACCATTAGTAAATTATGACATGCATCTGTAACATTCGGCATAGAATTAACTTCTGGATTGATACACGTGTGTTTACGACTACTCAGAATGGACATTCTGTGGATAATAAGAATTACAATGGCATTACTTCATATTTGCGTATTTGGTCTTTCTCAATTCTCTAACAACTTGAGATATTTGTTTGTGAGTTCTTGTACAATAATAAATCTTTGGACTAATTGAATGAGAGAATTGAAAATGAACAATTAGTTAGCACAGCATACCTTTCAGTAGTATTCTTTTTGTCTTCTGACATTAAAACATTCTCCACATCACCGAATTCTTTAAGATAAAGAAAAAAGTACCAAGAAATATGTATTATATACACATGGATAGATAAACAGTGAGTCACAATGAAATGATTAAAGCAATATTATTATTATCACTGTTCCCTTGGGTTCCTTAGTGGAACATACGGCTTCCACTGCACGTCTCCAACTGCCACTTCTATCTTTCTTCTACTGTACTTTTCACCTGAATCCATCCATGTTAGTCCATACTCCTCTTCAACTACTCTCTCTTCACACGATCTCCTCCATGCCACCTTTGCACTGACGTCCCACTCGCCGTGTGCTTCCCTTTCGGCCTGGTTCCACTCGAGAAATGGCCTGACGCGTGAGCGATGTCACCCAGTGGCCTCCTCACTCAGCGGGTGTCCAATCCATCTCCACTTTCTCCTGCATATTTGTTGGTTGGCGATTGGTTCTTGCTTTGTTTCTTCCCATAGTTTCTTGTTGGTGATTCTTTCCGACCCGGCCATCTGATCTTCAGTGTAGACCAAAGACAGTTATCAATAAAGGTCTGCAACAGGCTGTTTGAAATACTCTCCGTGACCCGCCCGCCAAGTTTCTCATCCGTATAGAAGAACTGACTGACTTGGCGTTATTTGTATTGAAAATCCGACTGAATTTTGTTGTTGACGGTGGCTGAGTGACGAAGATTTCCAGATCGGTGTCAGATTGATGATGTTGATGTGTTTCTCGCCTTCCCGATTCTCGCTCGATTTGACATCCTTGTCCGTTCATACTGCCTGTAGTTGAGACAATGCTCCCTAGATAAGTGAAGTGAATGAAGTAACCTCTTTCAAATCCCTCACGTTGATGGTGATTGGCGCTGGATGCTGCTGCTGTTGTTGCTGTTGTTGGTTAGTTGGTTATTTTCATAACCTCCGTCTTGTTTATGTTCACTTGGAGTCCTGTCTTTGTTGCTTCTTCGACCAGTTTGTCGGTTTTCGCTTGTAAGTCTGTCTGCCGGATCGGCCGTGGCCCGGATTAACAACGACCGCGCTTTCTGCTGCCGTGTCACAGGGCAGGAGTGATAAGTATGCTACTGAGGCACACCAAACAAAAGAGAACAAACAAAAACAGGCCGCGTGTGACCGGCCTCAAGCAGTTGTCCCCTGGGCTCTGCGGTCACGCAACCAACTTCCACGGTGTGGGCAGCCGGGAAGTAACAATCGCCCTCACAATCCGAAACGCACGCGAAACCTCTCTACTACTCACTCACTTGTAAGTCTGTCTACGATTTTGTGTGACATCAAACATAAATCATCCACGCGCGAAATTCAAGTCTTCTATGTGAAATGAAGTGAAATGAGTTGTTTTAGCGCCAACAAGATATTCATTCGTTAACTAAAGGTTTACTGTATACAACAGTAATGCAGTTTGTTCTAACAAGCAACAGAATAACAAAGAATGTTACTACGGAATATATTAGTATACGACAAGCATACAAGGCAATGTTTGAAGGATAGACTACCCCTTACACGTCAACTTCTGTATACCTACCTACCTACTATGCCACATGCTCCTCTGCAGCTGATTACATTAGACTTTGTGGGTTTTCCAGGAAAGCACAATTACCAATAGGTAAGCAGACGACAACATAATCAATCAATTCAGATCATTTGGCAATATTCAGGTTAGACATCGAGTTCCAGGTAAACAGGGGAAATCAATCGACGAAGTTGTGAAGTTACAAAGACTGAGATGGTTAGGACATGTGTTACGTATGCCTAGTCATCGCCTTCCTCGACGGATGGGCATTGTTAGCTGACATACGGTCAGGCTGGAAAACAGTTAGCGGAGGTCAAACCAAAACATGTCACCAGTCAGTGAAATCCACAACAGTTAGTTTAAGCCACGTAGGAAGGTGCAAACTTCCGGGTTGGGGTCCTCGGGACGGTAAAACCCAATGGTTGGAAACTATTGGTGACATGGCTCAAAATCGTTCTCAATGGCGCAGATGCATTTCCAATGAAACTGTTTTGTTCTTCGTTACTAGTATTCCTTTGTCTCACACCTCTGTTTACTGTCTCTATTATGCATTTCTTCTACTTTCTTCTCTTGTTTTGTGTGCTACAAGGAGGGAATGTGGCGACTTGAACTTCCGCACATATGTGCAAAGTTCTGTGTCGAAAACAGACAGACAGATAGATTTGGCTCTCCACTATTTATCTTTAGAATTTGTGTACAAGTTTCATTTCAAACACTCTCCAAGTCAATATGCTCATTACTTTTGTGTATATGAGAACAACAGCTCCAACTCTCTATTTAAAAAAGGTTTTGCCAACTCGTTTTCGTTTTTACCTTCATCTTAATGTTTCTTTTGGTTAACTTTATTCTATTTTGCTTGACATTCTCTACCATCATTAATATCACAACTTTTAAAGTATACTTTGCACCTCTTAGTATCAATTCAATCCCTTAATAACCTTTTTGGTATTTTATTTACTTCAATCCCATCCGTTTATAAACAAGTTAATTAGTGTTTATTTTGTGTATTGACTACACAATAGTTTTTTGCGACACCAACTGACTTCTTACATAACATAAGTGATAGGATCCCATGCACTTTGTTACTGATCAATTATTTCAACGGCTGTTAATCTCGCATAGATGGTATATCATCATTTCTCGCACACCTTGTTATTGACTATTACGATCAATTATTTCAAATGCTGTTAGCTGTCTATATTGTTGTAAAAATGTATAAATACCATGACTTTATTTGTCGTAGTTGTTGTACTACAATACACAGTCACAGTCCAGCCTTTGTCTTTTGATATTTGCGTGCTTCACTGAATCGGAAGGTACCACAAGCAGATAGGCATATTAGTCAGGCGCAGACAGAACAAGGCGACAACGTCTTCATTTAATTCCCTACCGTTATAACAACAAGTAAGACTGTGAAGCTTGGAAACAAAGTCGTTGAAAAAAGTACTTCCTCATTGGGTAAATCCTCTAAGTTCATCTAATTCATGGATAAGTCGGAATCTTTCGTAGACATACATATTTTTACAAAAGTAGTTGGTTCCATTATGGGTAAATTTTTGTTTCGATAAAGTCTCACAGTGTTATACAGTAATGTTTACTGATGACGTTTCGAGCACAATTTATTGCTCATAATCATATCAAGGTAATCACACGACTTCCTAACTTCATTTATATAGTTCCATTATTTTCCACTTGATTTTCATTTGATTTGATTGGCAGTAGTATTTTCCATATTTCAGGTATGAGTGATGAATCATTCCTATTGCATGTTAGCATCCTACGTAGGGTTTAGCCATACGTAGGATTCTAAATAAAGCAGGAATTAGGGTGGCATTTAAATATATAGGTGTGTAGGTAAGAGGACCCAGTTGACCCAATTAGACAAAATATAATTTACAAAATACCCTGCAATGACTGCGAGTTAGGTCAACTACATAGGTCAAACGAGTAGGTCAGGTGTAATCAGATTGTCAGAACATAAGAATTTAGCTAAGTGATAGGATCCCACATATTTTGGTATTGACTGTTTAAACTTGCATTTATGGTATGTTATCATTCTCACGCATTTTGGTAGTGACTGCTAATTTTGTATATTATCATTCTCACGCATTTTGGTAGTGACTGCTAATTTTGTATATATGGTATATCATTCCCACACATTTTGTTACTGACTGTCAATGTCGCACATATGGCATATTATGATTTCTCACACACTTTGTTATTGGCTATTAAGGTCAATTATTTCAAATGCTGTTAGCTGTCCATATTGTTGTAAAATGTATAAATACCATGGCTTTCTTTATCGTTGTTGCACTTCAATACACAGTCACAGTCCAGCCTTTGTCTTTTGATATTTGCGTGCTTTACTAAGTCGGAAGGTACGACGAGCAGATAGACAGATTAGTTCAGGCGCAGACAGAATAAGGTGAAAACGTCTTCATTCAATTCCCTACAGTTATAACAAATTGGCGACGGGGTTTACCTTAATTCAGTGCAGTTATAACAATTGGCGACGGGATTTACTTAATTCATCGCAGTTATAGCAAGCAAACGACGACAGTTTTTATTCTGTTCAGCGCAACTATATAACATTTTTGACTGTGTTAATTACAACCCAATTACAATGTCTATCTCTCTGGACGATCTCAAATCTATCTTGCAGCAGCAGCAAGTTCAGAATGAAGCAGCTCAACTAAAATTAATCGAAGCTCTCACTCAGAAGCTGTCCATTCAAGTTCCATCGACATCTCATTCTGACAAATATGAAAGCATCTCAAATTCTATCAGTGAGTTCAACTACGATCCAATATCTGGTCTCGTATTTGATGCATGGTTCAATCGTTACGAAGATGTTTTCCGTATTGAATGCTACATGTTTGATGATGCTGCCAAAGTCCGATTGTTACTAAGAAAACTTGGTACTGTTGAGCACAACAGATATGTTAACTTCATTCTGCCTAAGAACCCACGTGAGTTATCATTCGATGAGACAGTCACCGTTTTATCACAAATCTTTGGTGAACAGTCATCCATGTTTAATATTCGGTATCAATGTTTTCAGTTGACAAAAATGCCTTCCGATGATTATGTGACTTACGCTGGCAAAGTGAACAAGGAATGTGAAAGGTTCAAACCACACGAAATGACATCAGATCAGTTCAAGTGTTTGATTTTTATTTGTGGGTTGAAGAACCCAGAAGATACTGACATACGAACTCGACTTCTGTCACTTGTGGAACAAGACCCGAAAATGACCTTACAAATGGTGACAGCAGAATGCCTACGTTTAATCAACTTGAAGCACGATACTGCTATGGTGGAGTGCAAACGACAGTCGTCTGAATTTGGTTCGATTAACACAGTGAAAAGTCCTCCGATCACCGTTAAGCACACAGCACGTCAGTCTCAGAATTCAGCTAAACCTCCTTCAGTGTGCTGGCACTGTGGTTCGTGGCATTTTGTCAAGTTCTGTCCTTTCAAGAAGCATAAGTGCCGTAATTGTCACCGTTTTGGACATAAGGAGGGTTACTGTCCACCGCAGAAAAATCCTTCGGTGAGGAACAGAAGTAGTCGTTTCGAGCCGAAACAATCTCCTCGAGTACAGACTATTTATACAACTTCCAAAGTCGATGTCGCCAGCAAACGTAAGTACATAACACTAGATATTAATGGCAAACGTATTCGTCTTCAGTTGGATACGGCATCAGATATCACCGTAATTTCCCGAACTACGTGGCGCAAACTTGGTTGCCCACAGATTCTGCCGACCGAGCATTTCGCCAAGAATGTCTCTGGAGATAAACTGAAACTCGTGGGTGAGATCAATTGCCAGGTTCAGTTTGGTGAGCATCACTTCAATGGTGTATGTTACGTTACAAACTACCATGATTTGGATTTGCTTGGTCTTGACTGGTTAGACAAGCTCCATATCTTTAATGTACCATTAAATTCAGTATGCTCTAATGTTTCGTCTTCACCACACAACGTTGTTCCCGGAGATGTATCTGATCAATCTCTCTTGCAACGCCGTCGTCAAAAGCACGCTTCTGTCTTCCAGGACAAACTTGGTTGCTGCAAACTGTTTGGCATCCAGCATATTCGTAGCCCCCCGTATCATCCCCAATCGAATGGACAGACTGAACGTTTCGTCGACACCTTTAAGCGTGCTTATGCAAAAGCGAAGGGGGAGGGAACAACAGAAAAATTTTGGATAAATTCTTGCTGCATTATCGTACGAATGAAAAAGGACAGTTATGTGGCAGACACACAGATCACGCTCTATCCAGTACCACGCAAAGGTCAACTCGACAAAGAAGAGCTCCGAAACCTTTTCAAATAGATCCAAAAAGCAAGTCCTACACTCTTTACGGGGGGAGGTGATAGGATCCCACATATTTTGGTATTGACTGTTTAAACTTGCATTTATGGTATGTTATCATTCTCACGCATTTTGGTAGTGACTGCTAATTTTGTATATTATCATTCTCACGCATTTTGGTAGTGACTGCTAATTTTGTATATATGGTATATCATTCCCACACATTTTGTTACTGACTGTCAATGTCGCACATATGGCATATTATGATTTCTCACACACTTTGTTATTGGCTATTAAGGTCAATTATTTCAAATGCTGTTAGCTGTCCATATTGTTGTAAAATGTATAAATACCATGGCTTTCTTTATCGTTGTTGCACTTCAATACACAGTCACAGTCCAGCCTTTGTCTTTTGATATTTGCGTGCTTTACTAAGTCGGAAGGTACGACGAGCAGATAGACAGATTAGTTCAGGCGCAGACAGAATAAGGTGAAAACGTCTTCATTCAATTCCCTACAGTTATAATACTAAGGGAAGAATGGTTGACCCTGAAAAGATAAATAATTTAGAAAACAGTTCAGCGCTACATTGCACTGCATGGATTAACACACAACCATACAATAGGGTGAGAGAGGGTTAAAATTCTAAAAAGTAATCTAAGTGGGTGGAGTGCGAGAGAGGTTGATTACTGAATCCTTGTTCATCGAGTCTACACCAAACACATGCAATAGGAATGATTCATCACTCATACCTGAAATATGGAAAATACTACTGCCAATCAAATCAAATGAAAATCAAGTGGAAAATAATGGAACTATATAAATGAAGTTAGGAAGTCGTGTGATTACCTTGATATGATTATGAGCAATAAATTGTGCTCGAAACGTCATCAGTAAACATTACTGTATAACACTGTGAGACTTTATCGAAACAAAAATTTACCCATAATGGAATTATACTCTACCACAGTGCACAAGTTTTATTCTTATATCAAAAGTGGTTGGTGTTCATAAATTATCAGATGTATGTTGTTAACCTATTTCAATCCAATAATACTTAAAATTAAAAAACTTCTTAAAGCTGGAACATTATACTGAGGTTATAAAACGGTTAATTTCATCTATGATATTTACACAGTGAATGCCTTAAATTGTTTTCATATTGGATGAGTGAACCATTTGATTATGTTGAATGCGAACACGGACGTCAAACCTCTCTCTCTCTCTGTCTCTCTCTCAGAGGCTTTGTTTCTTCACGAGTAAACATTTCATCATATATGTCCAAACCAAGTTCACTCTTTTAACAGTTTGAAAAATTTTGGGTATTGGGTATATGATATTCATTATAATAAAGGTTCTTTTTTATTTCCCAATGAATGAATGAATGAAAAACAAACCATGAAAACAATGATTCTCTATATAATTGTGTCTATAAAATAAAATGCTTGCTTGGAATGTGATGCGATCTACATCGGACAAACATCTCGAGAAATCAAGGTAATCAGAAGAAATGAACACTGTAGAACCGACTCTGTTCGACCACCGAGAAATCCATTTAGTGAACTAGAAAAGCTTGAAAAATCATCAGCCATAGCTCGTCTACACACTATAGAATTAGGCCACAGAATTGATTTTGACAATATTAAAATCATCCAGAAAAAGTATTTCAGAAATCACAAAGAACGTCTAATATCAGAAGCCAGCCATTCATATCAAGTGAAATCCAAATTGTCTGAATAGGAATGATGGACTAAAATAGAATCTGACACGGTTACAACACCCACCTCCCCTCCCCCATGAAGTGACAAAATCAACACAAATTTGGTAAGCAAGTTCACTATGTAAACACACACACACACTACTCTTATAACTTTACACACTGATCATATCCAACAATCTACACTTGATTTTGTTTTCTTTTCCAATTCACCAACTCGGCAACCAAAAATGACCCCACACTAACGAACGATGATCAAGTTAGTAAACTTTGTTTTGATATCATAACAGATGTACTATTACCTTTGATATTTGGTTTAGTGATCTTCATTGCTATTTAGACTTTCAATATGTCCCTTTCACTTGACCTAAGTCTATTTTCTCACCCCTTGACTCTTTGTTATATATATGCTGAGTGGATTTTGTAAATTCTGGTTTAATAATACTTTGATAAAGCTATTAGCAGAAGCATTAAATAGCGAAACGTCAGTAAAAACGGAGATATCGTTTTGTTTTTCATTCGTTGGGAAACGCAAAAACCTTTATTATAATAAACATTTCATCGTCTACTTGTGTTAACTGATACCAAAAATCCATGCACGACAGTAATCAATTTGTATTAGATGCAACTGCCAGAACACAAAACATGCTAATTGCTCTTAATTCAAAGACTCAACGGTAGAATACTCAGAAACTACGCCGAGTTCGAATTCGAACCGAGGCAGTGAGAAACCCCCACCTAGATTACTGGTAGACAGTAAGCCCAGAAAAAGGTAAGGCTGGAAGTGAGACTTCATCCTACATAAACAGCATTACTGAAAACTCAAGGCTCTGAAAGCAATGAATAAAAAACAATAGGATTTACATAAAGTTTTCCGTGTCGTCCTTAGAAAATGATTTAAAAACTTGCATTTATGATCAACGACGAAAAAGAAAAACACAACGATAACACAAGAAATGAGAGAAAGAGCTAGTGAAAACAATGAAACTGCCTATATTGTACAAGAATAAATCCAATCTTCAGAAATAAAAATAAAACAAGGCTACCGGCACGAGTCATGTAACAATGGAGACTTAACTATTAGGTTTTGTTATCCATTCTTTTCTACTCAGGACAGAAAAAGTCAATAAAAAGCAGCTACCCATTATTATATCGCGTCGTGTATGAAATTCACAAACTTCCACTTACTCTCTACCATGTCGAGAGTTAACACCCATAAATATGTATGAAGCACTTATACAGCAAGAGATAACGTATCTAAAGTAACTACACAGCACCACAGATATATGAACACGATACATTTAGGAGATTCACCGACAGGGCCAAATGCTACCAATCGCTCTAAAACTATTTTACTATTTTCCGTCGCAGGTGATCGGGGGAATGATTTCTCCAATACATCTAGCTTGAGATAATTCCAAATAAACTGAAAGTGAAGATAGTTAGGTGGAACTAATGATATGGCATACTGGTTCTTCCACAGAGTCATGGACTCTTACAACCAACTCCCAAAATTGGTGCCTGCACCTTTGATTAACTCTTTCAAGCATAGATACTGAGCAGAAAAGAATTACCACGTGCCTCAACCCTTCTATCCTCAATAAATCTAAACACATCTCACAAAATTCACGTTTTCCCACACATCAGGAAAAGGCTCTACATGGGTAATTCACAATTGATTGCGTAAAAAATAATGTACTAGAAGAACATAAGACAAATTTACTCTATTCAGAATTGTAAAAAACGACCAGCTAGTTTGCCAAATATTTCTAAACATACAGGAAACTTTGTCATTTACTTTGGAGACAGTATTGGGTGCTATATTTATTCACCAAAATTAAGCATGATTCCGAAATCCTTACCAGCTGTATTTAAATCATCTACAAAATTACGTTTACGCGTTACAAAGGATAAGTCTTCTTACTTTTCTTTTTCTCCAGCCAACCTAAAGTAGCACACAAAAGGGAGAGAGTTTTCCCTGTTCCTGTAGGAGATTCTAAAAGGCAATTTTGTTTGTTTTCCAGAGATTCAACCACCTGGAAGCGATAAGAATTTTAAATCCTTACTCGTGTCATCATTGACATTTGGCAACCGTACGGTTTGTGTGGGAAACATATTGGGATGCCCCGAATAGTAATTTCGAATCGACTCATCCTGCAAATGTCCTTCGGTGTAGGTCGCTGATTGACCTTCCATGTGAATCACATAAAAGCTGGAGAGTTCTTAAACGCATACAGAGTTAAAGAATACTTGATTGTATAATCTTGTGTGTAGATAAAGTCTTCCTATCGTCGTCCTTCAGGGCAGATTGCTAAAATCCTAGCACTACTCCCTTTGGAATCAACCAAAGCTACGACAGTCGAGTGGCGGGACAAGCTAGGCAGAAGTTTACCGAAGGTCAGGAACCTATACCTTACAATAAAGAAGAGAGCACAAAGAAATCAAATTGGTTTATACTGGCTCTTAAAAACGATATATATTAGATATTGGAAAATAGCTTAGGGAATTCCTAATAGATAGGAGGCCGAAGGCCAGGATCAATTCCAATCTCTCCTCCCAGACAGCAGTGCGTAGAGGAGTGCCACAAGGCACGGTACTTGGACCTCTCCTATTTACTTTGTATAACAATGAGTTATCTCTGCACACCGATTCCCCTGTGGTCCTATACGCAGATAACTTAAAAATCTGGGGTGAGTTGGAGGGCAACAGTTATACGCTCATGTCGCAAAACGACCTCACCAGATTTTCGGAGTGGTACAAAGAATGGATGCTCCCGATCAACGTAGCGAAATGTGCAACCATCCGCATCAGAAAAGCAAGCATCAATTCCTAGGAACTAGAGGTAATAACACCCCTATCAGTTCAGACTCACTTGGTGTCATAGTTAGCCACGATTTCAAAACCACATCACACTATCACGCAGTAGCTGCATGTAGCTTCAGATCCTAATCTACAATTCAAAGAGCCCTTACTAGAATCCCGAGATATGTTTACCTCATTAGATACACCTCTGATGAGGTCAAGACTAGAAAACTGTATCCAGGCAGCCAGTTCTTGTCTTAGAGGGGATTCACGCATTCTACAAAGGGTTCAAAGGAAGATAACACATACGGTTCTCGGCATGACTAACTTATCGTATGAGGAAAGATCGGACAGTTTAGATCTCTTCTCTCCGTCATACCGTAGGCAGAGAAGAGATTTAATCACAATGTTTAAAACTTTAAATAATGACTTGAACCTGACCTATTATCTCTTTTCTTTCCCACCATGTCGGAACACCTTAGAGGACATAGCAGGGGAGCTCAAAAGCCCAAAAGAAATCATATTGATGTTGATTACTGGTTCTCACACCGAGTCATAAGCTCTTGGAACCGGCCGCCAGAAGAAGTGGTGTCAGCAACCCCAAATGATTCATTCAAGAAGGGTTTGGACAAGCACAGAAATTTACTAGAAAAGGGTTAACATAGGCTCCAAGCCTTCTATCCTCAGCCAATAAATCTGAATCTAAAACCTGAAATTTTGATAACCAAAACTAAATCCATACTCCCTAGAAATAAAGATAGTATCCCAGTCAATACGTGTTTTTCTCAGCAGAGGTTGTCCGTTTTACGATTCCGTTTTACCTTGGGTATGTTTACCACTTACTGAGACATTGATTTACATCGCTAATAACTTTGTATGAAAACCACAGCACGAAAGTCTGTCGAAACACCTCAGCCAAACTCTCTCTGAGAACAGTTATGCAACTGTGGTAGACTTTCCGGGTGGTTTAGGAACATATCTCCATATTTCAGGGATTAGACCCTCAGAAACAGCTTGTAAAGCTCATTCCCAATGAATTCAGACTATTCGACAACGTCTATTCATGAACGCTATCAGAGCTAGCCTAAGCCATATCCGAAATCATATTTAACATGACACTGGGACGGCCTGTAGTAAACTAACCTTAAAATTCGGTCAAGAGATATCGTCTAGTCTAACTAAGAATATCGTTAACCTACAAGAAAGAATGAACAGTGGTACACGTTCCTCAATGAATTTTTGGCCAGAGAGCATGTTTCTGGGGAAATCTTTCTTGCTTAACCCACCACCTTTAAGTATGCAAATATCCGGCTAGTACAGCCAACTCTAGTGGTATGAAGGATACTATTTTAATAGATTTTAACAGAATTATCAATGAGGTTTTTCATTCAGGTTTCGTGTGGAGTTAGTTTGAGACTGGGTTCAGGACTCCTCTGGGGACAGAAGATACTGTGAGTTAACGATGTTTTTTCATCGTCCGCAATGAGTGGTTTGTATCATGGCGCGATTCCGGGACTTCGTCCTACTTTATGTAAGAGGGATGCAGTTGGCGAATAAATCGTCTTACCTAGTGTTCTCCAACTACGTTAGTCTCTGAGGGGCTTCACACAATGACTGTGACCAACCTGTTTTCAAGAAGATTCACAGTTGTCTTTTCAATAGTGTATGTTTGTACATGTTAATTAGTACATGTGTATATTCTTATGCATGTAACTGGTAACAACATGCGCAATCACCCAATAAATGGTTTACTTTGCCAGTGTTTACCAAGCAAGTGGACTTGACAGTGATTGTAAAACGCTACCTACAAATGTCAGCTAACCTCGGAGCAGCGGGCACGAAAGGTTCTAGATTATGTGCTTCCCAAAATGTCCCTGGTATATTTCTTCCATAATATGCCATCTATGAACGAAATCAATTGGAATCCGGGGTCCAGGTCGTTTATTGTTATTGTTCCTTGGGTTCCTAGTGGAACATAGGGCTTCCACTGCATGTTTCCACCTGCCACTTCTATCTTTCTTCTACTGTACTTTTCACCTGAATCCATCCATGTTAGTCCATACTCCTCTTCAACTACTCTCTCTTCACACGATCTCCTCCATGCCACCTTTGCACTGACGTCCCACCCGCCGTGTGCTTCCCTTTCGGCCTGGTTTCAGTCGAGAAATGGCCTGACGCGTGAGCGATGTCACCCAGTGGCCTCTTCACTCAGCGAGTGTCCAATCCATCTCCACTTTCTCCTGCATATTTGTTGGTTGGCGATTGGTTCTTGCTTTGTTTCTTCCCATAGTTTCTTGTTGGTGATTCTTTCCGACCCGGCCATCTGATCTTCAGTATAGAGCCAGCGAAGACAGTTGTTGATAAAGGTAGGTCTACAACAGGCTGTTGGAAATATTTTTTGTGACCCGCTCGCCAAGTTTCTCATCCGTATAGAAGAACTGACTGACTTGACGTTTGTATTGAAAATCTGACTGAATTTTGTTGTTGACGGTGGCTGAGTGACGAAGATTTCCAGATCGGTTTCAGATTGATGATGTTGATGTGTTTCTCGCCTTCCAGATTCTTGCTCGATTTGACATCCCTGTCCGTCCATAATGCCTGTAGTTAAGACAATGCTCCCTAGATAAGTGAAGTGAATGAAGTAACCTCTTTCAAATCCCTCCCCTTGATGGTGATTGGCGCTGGATGTTGATGCTATTGTTGTTGTTGTTGGTTGGTTATTTTCATAATCTCCGTCTTGTCTATGTTCACTTGGAGTCCTGTCTTTGTTGCTTCTTCGACCAGTTTGTCGGTTTTCGCTTGTAAGTCTGTCTACGATTTTGTGTGACGTCAAACATAAATCATCCACAAGCGAAATCCAGGTTTTGTAGGTTCTTCACGTCGGTCCAGGATATCCCTGTCTTCTCGTTTTCCACTTTCTGACTGACGCATAATCCAGTCCACCACAACTACGAATATCATTGGTGATAATAAGCACCCTTGTCTGACTCTTGTCTTTACTCCAAACGCATCTCTGAGTTTTCCGCAGTGGATCACTTGACATGTGCAGTTGTCGTATAGCTGTTGAATATGGTTGATGAATATTTGGGTTACGCCGTAGTACTCGAGTAGTTTCCAAATTACTTCGCGGTCAACTCTGTCGAAGGCCCTCTCAAAGTCTAAAAAGTTGAGATAGAGTTTTGATTGCCATTCCATGCTTTGCTCAACGATGATGCGTAGAGTCGCAATCTGTTCAGAAAATGATTTACCTTTCGTGAAGCCAGTTTGTTCTGTTCGGAGTTCTGTATCCAGCGCGTCCTTAATTCTCTCCAGGATGATGCGACTCGGGATTTTACTTGGCATCGACAAGGGCATGACTCCTCGGCAGCTCTTGCACTGTCCTAAGTCGCCCTCCTTTGGTAGTTTCCTGAGGTACTCTTTCCTCCAGTCAGCAGGCGCCTTTCCCTCCTTCCAGACCTTTTGCAATAATGGAGTCAGCATGTTTTCTGTCGTCTCTAGGTCAGCTTCTAGTGCTTTAGGAGGTATTCCACCTGGTCCCGCTGCTTTTTCAGCTTTCAGAACCTTGATTGCACTCAAGACTTCAGCTTTCGTTGGAGAACCGGTGTCAACTTGCAGTTGTGTACGTGCTGTTGCGGGTATTTCCGGGCGGGTTGCAGGTGGTGGTCGGTTCAAGAGTCCTTTGAAGGGATCCGTCCTTTGTTTGATTTGTCTTTTTCCCTTAGTAATTGAGTTCATTTGGCTGTCTTTTATAGGCTTCACTTGTGTTGTGTTGATCTCTTCCCGGATAGAGACTTGGTTATCTGATATAATGTCCTCAGGTCCCTTTTGCCTGCTGCCTCCTCAGCTTTAGTGGCCAGATTGTTGTAGAATAGTCTTTTGTCCTTCCTAGCACTCTTCTTCACTTCTTTGTCCAGTGCTATGTACGTTGAGCTCAGAGTCTTTTTCTCTTGTCCGCCTTTGCAATGAATCATTTTCTCTTTCACCATGACCTACGGCACGTTCAACGTTTGCGTTACATTTTTGCGTGATTCGTTACATAAAATTTATCTTTTTGTAATACTTGTACAAGTACTATACTACTTCCATGCCTGTAACCATTAACTCTCATTTCAAATAGTTATGGTTAATCAAATTAAAAAGCAACGAACACAATCCCCTGTAAATCTGGTGACTAATTTAACGTCCTTGATTGCTACATCAAGCAACACACACCCTACCAACGGTTATAGTGAGTCACATAACTCACTTGTATTCCGTTAGCGTCGAGCTGGAACTGAGGATAAAACTGCACCGACAGCTAGTATTAGCACTAATCCTAAAAATTCAGTACCCTCTGCTCACACAGAACTCC